GTGTTCAATAAGACTTCGAAATGCTGGATATAAAAACTGATCAAACACAATACCAGGTTAACTTTGAGGATGAGTTTTTCGACTCCTAAAGTATGGCTAAGGGCATACTCGATAATCACTTCATGCAGTGTTCATATGTTTAAAGTATAGCACAAATTCCACAGAATGTTCCAATCCAACAATCATCATCTCGTTCCAATTTACCCAAGAATAAATTGCCGGAATTCTGTGGCTCTTACGAGCGTTGGTTAGAATTTTCCGATACATAATAGTACAAGTCATTGATACACAGTAGTGGTTCTTTGAGCAAATTCGATAAGTTTTGGTATCTTAAATCTTGCTTAAATGGTGATGCTGCTAAACTTCTTCTCTCACTTGAGTTTGTGGAATCCAATTATGATGTGGCTTGGAAATTCTTATGTGATAGATACGAAAATAAACGTGTAATTATTCAAGCGCATATGAAATCCCTTTTTTTGATGCAACCCATGAATAATGAATCCCATGTTCCATTAGTAGGTCTCATTGATACTTCCAATCAAAATTTAATGAGCTCTAGAAGCTTTGGGCCTGTTGATCATTGGGATTGCATAATTATCTTTTACATTGCCTCTAAACTCGATCCCGTTCCCACAAACATTGGTCCTTCGAGCCGGATTTGAACCAGCGACATATGTTTGTGGGGACGGGTTTTCCGTTTCCACTTTTCTGCTGATGGGTTGATGTTGTAGAATATTGTAGAGTATAAAAAACACTCTACTTTGTTTTTATGAAAGACTTTTAATATCTGCGGATACTGAATAAATTCTAACCGAATTTTATACAATTGAAAAATTACATAGGTAGGTACCTATACGAAATGACTACGACAATGACAACGTCTTGTACCGACGGGTGTTATTATATCGCATGCAGGGTGTCTGTCTAACCGTATTCCGATTTGAACAATGCATTTATGATTATACCTAGCAAATCTCATTAAAACAAAATTAACAAAATCTAAACATCCTGAGAGTGCTCCTTCCAACGAGAATTAATGGAAAAACTGTCTTCAAGCAGTTATGCTATCTTTGAATCGTAAGTATATGACTCCTTGAGTGGTTGCTCCGAATATCATTTAGTAGCCTGAAAGAAGGCCCTGATACTTTTGGAATCAGCGATGAGTTGCTGCATTTCGTTTGATTTCGTTATCCACCATTGATTCTTTTTAATGCTGATGATCTTTTGTATGTAGCCGACCGTTTCTTCCGAGGCAGATGTTATTGTGGTCTTGAATATTTGCCAGGGCGCCTGTTGTTTATGGACCGTATGGACCGATATACAAGTTGGTGCTCACATTGTTAAATTACTAGTTTCGAATGATTGTCAATATATTTGTCATTATAGTTACATTTAATAAATAGTATTCATACTAAAGAACATTCAAATACAACAGCGCCTAAATGCTTTCCATTTACTCTAACGGAAGTTTCTGGCAGAGAGGCTTGGAAGTTTGTCCTGATATGATCGTCTTGAAGGCACTCCATGTTAAATTTGCATTGGAACCGCTTTTTCTGAAATCTACGGTTTGATGGGATGCGCAATAGTTCATTCTGGCTCGTAGTTCTCGTAATGCCCTTATTTGGATTATCACGATGCTCAGACCAGTCCAAAAACTCATCAATCTGCATACCCAAAAATGGAGTGCTCTTGCTCACTTCAAACCTACATTCATTGATTATTATAGAATCAGGTTCACTTAATTTGGTTCTGAATTGATTAATTATATTGTTTTTTTTTTCATTTATTAGACATAATCTATTTTCTTCAAACCAATTTTCCGCTAATTTAAACGCATTTTCTGCATTTTTTAGGAGGCTCACAAAGGTTAGAATCTTGCTTTCACCAACAGATTTGTGTCATCTGCAATACTGAGATTTGGGTGTTGTATCTGAAAATTCAAATCATTTACAAAAATAATGAAAAGAGTTGGACCTAATAATATATTGCCTTGAGGTACCCCTACTGTATTTTGGAATATCTGATTTGTTCTGATACCATCCTTCTGAATAACAACCCTTTGCGATCTGTGGTGACTCAAATAGGATCCAAACCAATCGAGAGCGCGTCCCCTTACAGCATTCAAAAAAAGTTTTTGCAGAAGCATACTAGCATACTTCTCTCTAGCTAATCGAATGCTTCTGAAAGGTCCAAAAATATACCAAGCCCTACCTGTGTAAAATGAAAAATACCGGTATGCGTGGGTTGACTTTAGCCAGATATTCATGCTGACTGTCACAAAGAATAGGGGAGAGTCGGTGAATTGTGCGCACCTAAGGAAAAAGAAAGATATTTTCTAAAATATGGCTCATGGAGCTCTGAAATTTGGCATAGATATTCTTCTGTGTTTTAGCTGACAGCCCAAATCAACCAAAGATCACAAAGAAAATATTCTGAGCCTAGGGACAAAATTAGATAAAAACTGACACTGCGCACGATTATCCACCCTATGCGGTTAATGGTGCGCACTAGTCAGGGCAATTGTGCGCAACAGAAAACTATTGAAAACTATCGTATATAAAGGGTGGATTAAAAACAAGTGAAACAAACAAAGTACATAATACGTTTATTGCAAACAATATTAAACTAAATTATTGCATAAAAACCAGAACTAGTGGTCGCAAAAGTCGCAGATGTAACATTCGGGGGAGTCTACCCCACTGCAAAGCTCATGGGCCCATTTGCCGCAGATCGCACACTGAAACCAGTATTCGTCTTTCATTCATCTGTCTCCGAAATTGACCTCCGTGTCATCAAGTTCATCATCACATAACTGGCTGTCTGAGACTTCTTCTTCAGATTCACTTTCCTCAAAAACCTTCCTTTTAACGGTCTTATTATTTTTAGCGGGATGTTTTGCACTCGCTTTACCTTTTTTTGACGGATTTTTTTTCCAAATTTGCTTGCCTATCTTTTTTTTCTGACTCGCAGGCTATCAAAAGTTCTTTATTGGGTGTCTCCGTTAAAATTTCGGATTTCTGTAAGAGGACGGATAATTGTGCGCGATGCGCACAATTAGCCAACATGGACCTAATTGTAATAAAAATTCACAAAAATGAAATTGTACGTTATTTACCATGGAAAAATTTCTCCAGTAATAGTAGGAGCCCCACTGATTATTTTGGTGAAATTTCCGAAACAGGAATGTTCCTATTTTCAAAGTTATCGCTTGTTTTCACCCGCTTAAATTTTAATATAAACAGTCGGATAAACCGCCAAACACGATCACCGATATGTTTAAGCAGCAAATCGCACGAAAATCAGCGTTACTTTCAAAGACATCTATGAGACGGCGCCACGTGTACGAATTTGATCAAATAATAGGCGTTTTCGTATGGTATTATGGTGCGCACCATTAGCCGCTGCGCACATTTACCCGACTTCCCCCTACCTATTACATTTCGTTATAAATTCCATCAAATCTTACGGACATGGAGTAGGTATGGCAATGTTCAAATGAGTTAGTATTCCCCTTATTTCTATACAACGGCTTGGCTACCGATAATTTAAAATTTTCAGGGAACACACCTTGTATGAGTGAACTGTTTAGCATGTAGCACAAGACCTCGGTAATTGCTGGAACGATATGACGAACAAGACTTGAAGAAATTTCATCCTCTCGAAAACCACGTTTGTTTTCAATTTTTCTTATTCAACAGGTCTTAAAATTAATGTTCTAGGATTTTCTTGACAGTTTATTCGACTTAATTGTTTTCCCATAAATCCCATTCATCTGATAGTTCTGCAATGAATTAGTCTGTTAAAATGTGCATTATACCTATTCAATATTTCATTTGGAATTCCAGCAATCATGTAGTCACTTTCGCACTTCGTGTTTTTTCTCATTTGCCTATAAATTGTCCAGATACATTTATTTTTATTGCCAGATTTTTTTAATGTTTTTGCATAATTTTCTGATCGAGCTTTGACTAATAATTGATCATACATAGGTGTGAATACATTTGTCGATACGTCATATTTTGCGTTTTCAAGTTTAAAACATTGTCGTCTATGTTTTATAAGAATAATTTGATTATATTTCATGCACTTTCTCTGAACATTTATCTATATCTAGGAATTCTAGAATGACCCAAAAAAAAATTATGGACAGAAAAAAAACGTGATTTTTCGTAAATTTTAAGTTTTGTTTGTCCGTTATTCTAAGTACTAAAAATTTGAAAAGAAATTTGTAAGAACATATTTCGATGGAAAATTTAATTTTCTACTGAAAAGAATTCTTATGAAAATCACGAGTTTTGCTTTGTTCACGAGTTATTTTGAAAAAACTAAAAAAGGCGCTCTTTTAGTTGGTTCTCAAAAACGCGCCCACTGTTGAATAGTGGCGCCATCTAGATGTCATTCAACATAACAAAAACTTGCCCTTATTGATCAAAAGAGTTGAATAAATTTCAATGTTTGCCTTGTAGATTTGTTTTAAAGCTTGTCTTAGGTCAAATTTAATTTTGTGAAAAATAATTAAGAGCAACGGTTGATTAAACTCATTCATATGAATAGGCTTCAAGCTTCAAATTTGAAAAAAAAAAAACCATACCTACCTACGTTTTGAATGGAATAAAATTCCTAAAAATCATCCTTTGATGAGTTTTTCCTATTACATACTTCAAAAATATTATCATTTGCGTAAATACCACTTTTCCACATAGAAAAACACCTTTGATTACCCGGCTTTTATCAGTTTTTGAAATGTCGCAAGCAAATAATTTTTGAATACGCGCCTTAAAAGCGATTCAGACCAATCGCAGCACTACAGCTGTAAACCACTCGAAATACGATTTCCTTCACGTCATCGTCGAGTGTATTTAGCCGGTGCAAGCGAGTTGTCTATTGCCTGGCCACGTATGGATATAAAGCTACCGGCCTGAGCTCCGACCAATCAAATCGTTCCATCTGTCTGAATTTACGTTTGGTAAAAGACGTACGTTTCGATATCTTAAGTGTTAATCACTATAAATAGACGAAGACAGAAGTTTCAAAGTCAGTCTGTGATATTACCTTAGGGTAGGTTTAGTATTCATTCCTGAAGTGTTTTTTGGCACTTAACTTGTGGTTCTGGTGGTTGTCGTTTACTGTTGAGGAAAATCGGAAGTCGGAGTAAAGTTTACAAAGATTTTCTAAATAAAAATGAAGTTCTATTTGATCTTATCCGTGATTTCTTTGTGTGCCTATGCGGCCTTAGCCGACGTATATTTTGAGGAAAAATTCAGCGATGGTAAGTCACTAGTTTTTCCTATTTTTCCAACCCAGTTGCTCCGGGTTGCTATTATTTTCTTAAGGGTGAAGTTCCATGAACCCTATTGATTAAATTTCACTTAATTCTTAAATCAAATTCAATAACATACCTATTGATGGCAAATTATTGGATAATTGATGATTTTTGTGTACTCAAAGATTTCCATGTGTTATAGATTCCTGGCAGAAAAACTGGGTGTACAGTAAACACCCTGGAAAGGAGTTTGGAAAATTCGTGAGGACTGCCGGCAAATTCTTTAACAATGAAGAAGAAGACCAAGGTAAGTCTTGATTCAATAATTACTAGTGCATAGAATACCTAGGTACCTAAATGGTATTTTTTGTACTTACTGTTAGATTAGGAAGTCAAAACCTTCAAGCTTATATGGTTTTGCCAATAAGTATTGACACTCATTCATTAGCTTAATTCAATTTAATATTATTATTATGCGAGGCTCTTGAAAAGGCCTAAGGGTTGCAAGCTCTGAGAATGTGACCCTATTTCAAATTCTCAATTATTAATTATTATAGGTATTACGAAGGAAAAGAAAACAAAAATTGTTACAGGCAGTTTTACATTATAACAAAGACTATGCAAGTATATGATGTATTTCTGTAGAGGAGGTATACAAAAAACTAAATTTCCATATGTACCAACCACAATAACACTACAATGGAACCATCAAATACAATCAAAATAAGATCTCAGTGTGTGCCACTTGCTTTTCATTTACAGACTTGTCTCCCATAAACCAAGTGTATAAATACTCCCAGCAACATGTCAGAACAAAGTTGTAAACTTATCAAAGTTATTAGCTATAAAGGACATACATCCTTGTTAGTGATGTGAACAAGGGAACGTTCTGATTGTGATTTCGAGAACATTCGCGCACGAAAAAAAGGTTCGTGCTGAATATTACTTTCGGAGCACATTGAGCACGATAGAGAATATTCAGCATGTTCTCAAGCACGATCCTAACCAATAAAATCACATGACGCCATAGAGTAGAGATATATTTATGGAAGCTGTTGAAGGCAGAGATATATCGAATATTGAGCCCGAGAACCAGGAAGCAATTAGCAGCAATAGTTATTTTTTTTTGTAAGCAAAGGTAGCGTTGTACTGGAATATACTCAAACTAAAATCACTACATATGAGATTAATTATAGGTCTGTTTCTGCAGAAATCACAAAACAGTCAGAGCGAATTTCATTGGTTGAAAACAGTCAGAAAACTACTTTTAACAATGAAATTCACTCTGATTAGTTTGTGATTTCTGCAGAAACAGACCTTATGTATTTGTATATTATGAGAACTTTCACGAGAAATTTGGGAATTTCGGGAAATTTGAGAAAAATCAGAATTTATTTAGAAAAATGTCTTGTTTTATTCAGCTTTTGATAAAAAGCATAAATTCTCGGGTCCTGCTCGTTTTTGCTCGATTATTCTTGTTTATTCTCGATGCTGCTCGGAGAACGTAATACTTGCTCGAGCATTTTACATCACTAATCCTTGTTTAAAAAACTCTTTTGTTAGTTGTCACTCTCTCACTGCCACTGGTAAAACCTTGAATATTTTGACCAAGATAGTCAATAGCTCTAGAATTAAAATTTTGTGGGATTGTGATCCATATAAGTACAAACACTCAAAATGTTCAATGATCTTTTTATAAGAATCGTTTCACCATAAAGTTGACATATTGGAAACATGTTACATGTTACTCTCTCTAAAAATAATTTTGAGAATAAAGTTTTCAAAGGTTCTCATATAAAATACCCGACACTATTATAAGATATCTTAGCAGGGGCGTAGTCACCGGTGTTCCGCGTGTTCCATGGAACACGGGCCCGGTACCTCAAGGGGCCCGGTTCTAGACGTCAATATTATTTTTTCCCTAGTAAGTAAAAAAAATCTATTTTACACATTTGACGCTAATTTATATAAAAATATAAAATATCTATATCTACGTAGGTAAAGTCTTCATTTCTTACATTCTTATGTAGATTTATAATGATTTCTTTCATTCTTTGAAAACTTTTCGAGTTTACTGCTTCTCGCGTATCGTACGGCCGAACCACTTCATAGTATGCCAGGATTGCCGCAAGTATGCCAAATCAAGATCCTGCAATCCCTGCGTTGTGGTTTGTTGTGCTGCCCTCTAATTAGGTGAGTTAAGCCTAGTATTCATAATAGCGAAATTCGCTCTTTTTTGACATTGCTTCGACAATTTGACGTTTTATACGTGAATCAAACGTCAAATTTTCGAAGTAATGTCAAAGAAGAGCGAATTTCGCGGTTATGAGAACTAGGCTCTAAGCTTTAATTTGAAGGGCTGGTTTCTCAATAGCGAGTCACCTCCGGGTTGGTTTTAACTCCAGGGTAAGCGTGAGAAGTTGCAATGTTTACCCTGGAGTGATGCCTAACCCAGGGGTGTCTTGCTATTGAGAAATCGGCCCTTAGGGTATTTGTGGCATGACATTGCACATAAAATATGTCTAGAATTTTCCGCAGAATTAAAAAATGTCATGATATACAGAATGTAGGATTTAATAGTTATTTGTACACCAAGTGAGTTAAATGAATATTTATTCATGAGAAGAAAGTTTAACCCACGAGCCCTAGCGAGTGGGTTAATTTTCTTCGAATGAATAAACATTTTAACTCACGCGATGTATACAAAATTTTATTCCATTTTGTGGAAATTTAAAAACCTACAAGGAAAAATGCCGGGAGTGAGTTAAAAATATTTTAAATCACTGAAGTTTCAGATTTTTAGTTGGGCAGAGTGACTTAAAATGCTGAGAGTGAGTTAAAATGTTTTTAAATCACTGAGGTGATAAACGTCTACTTACCTTTATTGTTATGCGTTCAATTTTAAACGTCAAAATGGGATAAAAAAATAAAGTTGATAGCGGTACGGTACAGCTGTTCTTGGAACCACCTGTATAAAAGAATTGGTGTGAAAAAATCTCAAGCAAAAAAACGAAATTGACCTGTCCGAGCGGTTTTTCCAAAACGCCTTCATTTATTTTATATTGAATATGTTCCATACTTCCGTTCACCCTGCATATTTAGAAAAAAATATTTTTTGATTTCTCAATTTTTTTATCTCGCAGGAGTAAGGGCCCGGTAAAATTTTTGAACACGGGACCGGAGAATCGTCACTACGCCACTGTATCTTAGCAAAGATTTCACAAGAGCCTTGTAAACACAGATTAGAAGATGTTTATGTATTATTTCCCTAATCATATAAAACTTACAAATTGATTTTCTAATAATATTGTTAGGTAATCTAAATACATGTTTCCATTTAAGTGTTCAGTTATAACTCCCTAATGCATTGTACCTGCTTTATTTCATCTTCAAAACCATTCACCTTTATTCTATTTAAATTGGGTATGCATTTTTCTTGGAATTTTTGTTTCCTAGGCTGGAACTCTGTAACGGATAGAAATCGTTATCCCTATCGCTATGGCACTTGTTGTCTTCTTCTCGCTTCTTGAAAACAGAGTTCCAGCCCTGTTCTGTAATTCTCAACACAATTCGACATTTTCTCTCATGGAACAAGAATATGTTAAAAGAAGTTCCTAGGTCAAATTAAACTTGATGTTGAATAAAATTCTTGTGATATAATTTTTTTTGTGACAGGGATAGAGAGGAAATAGTTCTTGTTGTGTGGTTGGTACCAAATCAATATTTTTTTGTTCTGGAAGTTAGGCAATTTTACCTCCTCATAGGTTGGCTCCACTCATCGATCTACTGACAAAATAATATTGCCCCTAATTTAAATAAATTCTATGATTTCCTGGCAGTCTTAGGAACGGTTTATCAGTGGACGGTTATTTAGTTAACTGACAGCTAAACTAAATAACCGTTAGCTGTCGGATAATTATTAGTTGATAATTATCCGACAGCTAAATTAGATAACCATCCACTGATAAACCGCTGCTTAGTAATACTTGAGACTGCCTTAAGTTTAGAGGACTTTCGGGAATGCACATGGAAATCATAATGATTGCCTAGGATTGCTATAGATTTCCAGTCTGGGTCTGCCGATTGCTAGACTGTCTCAAGTATTTTCAAAAAAAAAAATTAATATTGAAAATGCTTATCAGATTTTGGAAACCTTTAAAGTTTTCTTGGAAAGTTAATTTTTAAAATAAGCTTAGAGAATCTCTCTCACTATTTTCATCTAGCTGATATTAATTTTTTTCACTTTGAACACTTTCATGAAAATCCCTGTCCTAATCATTTGATGAAATACAATCATGGACATCAAATTTCTATGAAATAATTTTCCTGACATTAGTTTTTTCCAGTTGCTGGTACAGGGTGATCCAGTATAAAGTGAACACCCCCTACCCTTTCGCTAAAAAAATTTTTTTTGATAAAATCAAGATAGCCATTTGATGTATTTTTTTTTCTAGGAATTTGAAAACGTCTTTCGAAATTTAATTAGAATTTTCGTTGAAGCACTGTGATCAAAAAAGTAATTTTTTTAAATGGAATAACCTATATTTTAATCCATTATCTAAATTCCCCTATTTTTCTCATTTCGAATATATATAATTTGTTTATCTCTATTTTAGTAATTTGCGATATATCCTCACTCAAGATTCAAATAAAAATAGCCGAAAAGGTATCAGGGTAAATCTAAATAATTTTACCTTTAATAGAACTACTGGTTATTATGTTTTATGATACCTTTTCGGCTATTTTTATGTGAATTTTAAAGTGAGAATATATCGCAAATTACTAAAATGAAGATAAACTAACTATATACTTGAAATGAGAAAAATAGGAACATTTAAAAAATTGATTTAAATATAGGTTATTCCTATTTTTGGTTACAGCGCTTCAACGAAAAATGTAATTAGATTGCGAAAAACGTTTCCAAATTGCTAGAGAAAAAATAGATCAAATGGCTATCTTGATTTTTTTCAAAAATAATTTTTTTACCGAAAAGGTAGGGGGTGTTCACTTTATACTGGATCACTCTGTACATGTTTCTGTTTTTTGCTTAAAAACTAATATCCGAATTTAGTGTATAATTTTGTCTGGAACTGACTACCCTCGTGATTAACCATAGATAAGATGTGCAATTTTTTTTTTGTAGCCTTTAATGTGAACTCTAAAATAATGAGATTCTGTAAATCTGGCAGCCTGAAAAGCTAATTAGCGCAGTTTTTTTATTGGCAAGCACCCAGAAAGCACCCTATTTTAAAAAGTCATCACCTTTTTTCCAATTTTAAGCTTGAAAGTTTATAATAATTCCCAAAAACACTGATGTAAAACTCAAGCCGACCTACCTATAAATAATATTGCCTGTACTTATTTAAATTCTCTTTTCCAACTCCAACTTTCAACCTCCTTTTAAAAATTCAAGAAAAAAAGGACAGGACCTACAGTTTATCCATTATTACAATTTCAAATTGCACAGAAACTTCTAATAATATTATAGATAGTGTCCTGTATTTAAGTAGTTGTTGTTTCGGAATTGGAAATATTGGCTCTTAAAAGTGAGTGTTTTTGCTGTAAATCCAAAATCCAAATGGAAATTCCAAAAATGTTTGGTTTTTCATGCCAATTCTAGGATTCTAGCTTTAGGAATTTAACAAAACAATAATTGAGTTTCAAAATATTCCATTAATTTAATTAAAATGTTATGTAAACATTTTCATATTTGGGTACAGTTTTTCACCTGTAATAATACAAAATAAAGAAAAAAAAACTCATTTACCTTTCAATAGGGCCTGCCTGAAATGTGACAAACCCGTAATCATGATGTTTTAATACAATCTTCTTCTTGTAATTTAAAACAACATTGATGTTTATGTCTTAATCAGACTGAAGTACATGCTTAGAATTTGTTAACATGTCTGACATACTTATTTGTATTTTCTATTAATTTAGTACTTATCTAATAATGCTAATTACGGTTTATTTAATTAGGTATTATGAAACAATAATTAGTGTTAATAAACATAATAATTTTACTTATTTCTTTGGGGTATCTGAAAATAGAAATCAGTGAATATGTAATTAGAATTATTTTTTGTCCAATTTACATAAACAATAAACTGTTATTTCTTTCAGGTATCCAAACTTCTGAAGATGCTCGTTTCTACGCGCTCAGCACCAAATTCAAGCCTTTCGGTACTAAAGACAAAGACTTAGTAATCCAATTCAGCGTCAAACATGAACAGAACATCGACTGTGGTGGTGGATACGTGAAAGTCTTCGACTGTTCCCTTGAAAGCGAAAAATTACATGGCGAGACCCCCTACAGGCTCATGTTTGGACCTGATATTTGCGGACCCGGCACCAAGAAAGTTCATGTTATCTTGAACCATAACGACAAAAACCATTTGATTAACAAAGATATCAGATGCAAGGTAAATATTTTTACAAAGGTTTTTTTTCCATTCAATAATAATTATTTTCATTTAGGATGATGAATACACTCACGTTTACACTCTTATCATTCGTCCAGACAACACCTATTCAGTATTGATTGACAATGAAGAAGTCCAAAAAGGAGATTTGGAGTCTGACTGGGATATTTTGCCACCCAAAAAGATCAAGGTAAATAGGTTTTTATTTATTGAGATACCCACTTCCTGGACAAAAAATTATTCAATATTTACTTCTGAACAGGTTGAAGTTGGCGAAGTATTTTCTTGACATTTTTCATTTATCTAGAACACCCAAGCCAGCCCCAACACACAGATGCAGTTTTTTAAATAATTCATTGAAAACTCCATTCCAAATTTTCATGTTCAAACCTAAGAATTTTGGATTTTTAAGTATTGTCATTGCCTTGTAGTTAAGTTGAGTTTAAAACTATCAACTTTTGATTGTTTGAGCTCAAAAAGAACATAATGAATTTTGGTCAAAGAATCAGTTTAAAGTATACTCTCTTACCTTCCCACTTGTTGACTAATTAATTAGGACAATTTTTAATTTAGGATCCCGAAGCCAAGAAACCAGAGGACTGGGACGAGCGTGCAACTATTCCAGACCCAGACGACACCAAACCAGAAGACTGGGACAAGCCTGAACATATTCCAGACCCAGCCGCAACTAAACCCGACGATTGGGATGATGAGATGGACGGCGAATGGGAACCACCAATGATCGACAACCCTGAATACAAAGGTAAGCTTATATCACCCTGGTAGTATGCAAGTATTTGAAAAAAAATCATTTCATTTATCATATATTATTTCACATAGAACTTTTTATGAAAAGTGACATAAAACTTCTGATGCCTATATAAAGTTTACAATGGAAATTTAAATATTTGTCATAATTTTTCACCTATTATATAATATTGTGTTTGATATTGAGATGCCATGATGGCAGAGCTTTTTCCAGTTTACATAAATCCAAATAAAAATTTGACACCAACTAATTAGGACACAATTTTTCATTCTATTCTCACAGTTTTCAAAAATGATCATAAATAAATATTAGTCTGAATTTTTGTTTGCAGGTGAATGGAAACCAAAACAAATCGACAACCCAGCCTACAAAGGTTCCTGGGTTCACCCTGAAATCGACAACCCAGAATACAGTCCAGTTCCTGATCTATACAAACAAGACGAAATCTGCGGTATCGGTTTTGATTTGTGGCAAGTCAAATCTGGAACCATCTTTGACAACGTCTTGATCACCGACGATGTCGAATACGCCAAAAAAGCTATTGAAGGTTTGAAAGAAACTCAAGAAGGTGAAAAGAAAGCCAAAGAAATTAAGGACAAGGAAGAAGCTGAAGCTGCTAAGGATGAATCCGCAAGCAATACTGTTGATGAGGCTGAAGATGATGATGAGGACGATGCTGAAGGTGATCATGAACCACAAGTAGAGGTAATATTATTTTTGGGAAATTAATTTTTTTGTTAATTTATTGTTTTTTTTTTTAGGAAAATCATGATGAACTCTAAATGGTTGTCTAATTTGTAAGAATGAGAAATTTTTTTATACTGTAGCAGTGTGCAGTGTTTATTTAAAGTGCGTGTGTACTATTTTTTGACTGATTTTTGTTAGTTTTTTTCCTATGAATAATAGTCTAATAAATTTTTTGCAAAATATTTTTTTAAAGTCTGTATCACATACTTTGGTCAATTTAAGTTAATGATTTCTTTGTACAAAATTCAAGCATACGTAATTCCACTTAGTGGATTATTACGTATGGAAATAAAATGTATTATAGTTTTTTTTAAATATAGTTTTATTTATAATTAAATAAAAGTTTATATTAAACTTAATTTGTGTATTATTTGAAATTTTTGGGAAAGCAAAAAAAAAGTGTATAAAAAGTGAAGCAAACTGCAGCAAAGGAAGGCATTATTTGATTATTCAAGTCTTACTATAGCTTCTACTATATGAGTACATATTTCTAGAAATCAGCACCTACATGTTTAGTTTGAATGTGGTAGTAGTAGTAGCATGCTTTATTGTCAAAAGATCATTATGGACAAAGCTAATCCTTAAATCTAAAATCTAAACCATCTAACTATAATGCTTGTCACAGTAAATACACATACATATTTTTAAATTTTAACAGTTAATAAATAAGTTAAAAAAAACTATAAACAAGTGATAAGTCACACAGAGAAGAAACAATACAAGAACAAACTGTTGTAAAATATTAAAATCAATAATAACTAAATAACTAGGGGGTCAGATCTTGACAGAAACATTAAGAAATAAGATAAAACATGAACAAACAGTACAGTAGTGCTCTGATAGGAAAATAAAATAAACACCCAGGACAGAGTGCCCCGCCCACGATAATTCTAGGCCGCAAAAGCTGGTTAAATTTATTAGGTTCAAAATACCAAGTCCAGAAATTCATTAACAGTATAGAATGCTTGGGTAAGTAAGATAAATTTTAACTTTTTTCGAAATAGAGGGATATCTGATGTATCTTTCAAAGTTGCTGGAAGGTGATTATAGAGTTTTACACTCTTGTAAATGATAGAGTTCTGTACAAGAGAGGAATGTGGAATAGGAAGCGACAGATGATGACTTTGTCTCATCAGATGGGTAGTTTGGCGTGCTGGAAAACAAGAGATATTCTTATGAATAAGGCTTACTGACTCGAGAATAAAAAGACATGGAAGAGTGAGGATCCTATACTTAACAAATAGTGGCCTACAGTGTTCCTCTGGTGAAACGCGAGCAATAAATCGGATTGCTCGTTTTTGTAGTTTAAACACTGATTCAAAAAGATACTGGCTGCAACATCCCCAAAATGGCAATCCATAAGTTAGGTGCGATTGTATTGTATCACAGCGAAATATTCTGATTTTGCTATGGTGAACCGCAAGGTAGATGAGATTGATCGTATGCAGTAGCAGCCTGAAGATAGTTTTTTATTGAGAGCTATTATATGTGATTGGAACTTAAGATCAACATCCAAGTTAAGATAGATAGATAGATTTTTATTAACGAACAATGGTCATTCACAAAAGATACCTAGCTTAGGTTAAAGTTACGATGGTTAAAAAAATTTCAACTTAAATACATTTATAAAAAATATCTCATTATGCAGATACATAGCCTAGGTTAAAGTAACAATGGTTAAAAAAAAAAATTGTTTAAAAACATTTATATAAGATAAAAATATCACATTATACAAACATTAGCAGACTACACAGTTAAAATCACAAGATAAAAGTCACAGAGACAACATAAATTATTATAATTCAGTCAGCTTACGTTTTAGTGTATTATAACTTATAGAGAATAAATCTATATTATCAGGTAGTTTGTTGGCATTTCTGGCCATTCTACTTAAAGGCGAAGAGTACCCATAATTAGTGCTATGAAAATTAATAGAGAAAAGGTTGTTATTCCTCAGTCTTCTAGTTGTATTAAAACTGAAAGAAGACAACAGTTCTGCACAATCTATTTCACCATTTAAAAGCTTAAATAGGAAACGTAAGTCAAAATTTTCTCTCCGTTTTTGTAGAGATATGATGTTTAGAAGATTTTGCAATTCGTTGTAATTTATTTCATCTTTTGGTATTCTAAGTAAATACGCAATAAGTCTGAGAAACTTTCTCTGAACTTTTTCCAGCTCAGTTTCATAAGCTTGGTAGTAGGGAGCCCAAACAACGCAGGCATACTCCAATACAGATCGTACTACTGAACAGTACACATTTTTAATTATATTTATGTTGTTAAAATCTTTCAACGTTCGGAAAATGAAACCAAGGAGTTTGAGTGCTCTGTTCGCTGTAGCATTTACATGGTGATTAAAATTCAGCTCGGTATCAAACCATACTCCAAGATCCTTAATATGTGTTTCTCTTGTTAACTGACAATTATTTATTTTGTAGTTGAAATGAATAGGTTTTTTAATTCTAGAAAAGGTTACAATTTTGCATTTATCTGTATTCAAAGCCAATTTATTTCCATGACACCATTGAGCTAGCTTGTCAAGGTCTCTTTGAAAATCCAGACAGTCCTGTTGACATTTTATTTTTTTGTAAAATTTGCCGTCATCAGCATAGGTGAGAGAAAGGGAAGTTTCAAGTGAGTTGGAAATATCATTAATAAAGATATTGAAGAATAATGTAGACAAATGTCCACCCTGCGGGACACCTGAGTTGATCTCAATCTCGGATGAAACATGATCACCAATTTTTACCAAGTCCAAGAAACTTTGTATTTTTCGAACTTTTAACGGAAAATTCGTCACATACAATTCGTTCGATGTTACATCGGAATGCTAGTATTTGGGTTTTGTTGAAGTTGAAAAGGAGTCCATTTGCATCGCACCACATTTTGACACTGTTTAGATCGTGGGATATTATTCTGATCAGCTCGTTAGGGTCGAAGTTGTGCCAAAGCACAGTCGCATCGTCCGCAAACGCTGCAAATTCTCCAGATATATTGATGAACAGGAGATCATTGATATATAGAAGAAATAGGATGGGTCCAAGAACTGAGCCTTGCGGGACTCCAAAAGTGATGTTCTGTTCAGAGGATAGTTTGCCATCCGTGGAGACACGCTGGCTGCGATGGAAAAGGTACGACCGAAACCATTCCAGAACCATAGGCTTCTAGTTCCCCCAGTAGTGTTCTGTGACTCACGCAATCAAAAGCCTTTGAAAAGTCACAGAACACTCCCGCAGTAGCATATCCATTGTTACAGTTCCTGAAAAGCGCCTCGATCACACGGAACATCGCATCATGCGTGCCCTTTTTTGGGAGAAATCCGAACTGGGCGGAATTGAAAACATTATGCAATGTCAGAAAACACAACATTCGCTTTTTAAGTATTTTTTCTACTACTTTAGACATTGTAGACAATAGTGAGATGGGGCGGTAGTTAGATGGATTTTTTGTGTCACCACTTTTGAGGATTGGAACGATTAAGGCTTCTTTAAGACTAATGCCTGTGCTAATATATTGAAGGCTTGGTCTGGTAGTTCCCGAAGTATTTTTGTTGAAATGCCGTCTGGTAAGTCCAAGGCGTACATAATTCGAGTCTTTTGGTGATAAGGACTTGGGGGAACTGGTGGTCCCAGATAAATAACTCTAAAATTGATTTTGTAAAGAAAAATGTCAAATTGTCAATTTTAGGCACAGTGTCCTTGGAGGTGGTGTAGCAAGAAAAAAGGTACAGACTTTGGTACCTACCTCGCCTACCAAAAAAAAAAGTTCAAAGCCATGGTTGAACAAAGAAATGATATATAAAGGATATATTTATTTGCAGGTGATAGGGAATGTTTCAATGAATAAAACACTTTGGGCTTCGCATTCGATTGAAAATTTTATAATTTATAATGGAGATATACTCAAGACATTCAGAACATTGCAAAAATAAACCAAAAAATAATGGAAGACCAAAGTTACGAGAATTCTATATTCAATCTTTGCAATAAAATTATAAAACTGCTTGGCAAATTAGAAAAATAAATAAACTTGGGTGGAAAATGTGACTACCCTGACTACTTTAGTAATTTAAAGGATGAAATAAATTTCGGTAAAAGCAAGATGTTATCATATTTCTCAATATGAAATCTAATCACCAATTCATAGACTTTGTTCTCGTGAAGAAATTCACCTACATACATACCGGGTGTCAAGTTATAAAGTACCACCACCTGTTACTTAGTTACAAGTGGGGGTACTTTATAACTTGACCCTCTGTACGTAGATAAGTTTTTTGATTAATCATGCTTTTCAAATTTCTCATAATTTTTTTTTGTTACATATTATTATTATTATTAGTTGCAAAATCTTCTTGTTGCTTTATTGCTCAACGCAATATTAAAGTCTTTATAGTGATAGTACTACCTATGTTCATGAGGTTTATTAGACATCGATCCATATCGATAGTTATTAACTCCCTGCTAAAAGATGGTAGTAGTAGCCCATCTATATTCGTGAAAATAAGGATAAAAACGTCGCTTTGACCGAGTTTTTTGATTATTCAAACCCTTTATGCCTTACCAATTTGAGACAGTGTTCTAGAACACCCTGTCAAGTCTGTGTTAAAAGATGGTAATGGTACCTACCCCGCCCAAATCTCCAATGGGTATAAAGCAGTGGCGGTTCCTCCATAAGAGCACATGTGCACGTGCACTCCCAAATTAATATCAAACAACTTTAAATTTAATTTTATCATTCTTCAAATTTTAACAATCTACCTGTAAAGTATTAATTTAAAAAATTAGTGGCCAAATGCGCCAGCAAAACAAACGCAACCGGCATTTATTATGAATTACAAATTATGTGCACCCCCAATATGTTATACCACGAGCCGCCACTGGTATAAAGTCAATTCAGGTTTGATAGGAGACCTCTTTGTATAACTTTATATTCAGTGTCCACACTCCACTGGCATAGTTCCATATAAATTGTTGCATGCTCATACTTATGGCCGCCTAGATTATTGATTTTATCGCCAGAGGGTCCTTCATTAAAATTTGATTTTGGCATTGTGTAGCCAAATTAAAATGTATTCTAAAAGACAAAGAAAAAAACAAAATTTTATAATTTAACATAAATAGGAAATTTTATTCAATATAAATAATTACAAAAGAAGTCTTCTAAGTTGTTCGAAAACAACAACAAAAATAAATCATCACACACAATCTCACACCAATTAAATTAAATTATCATTAAATTTACAATTCCTCATGTTCAACATCGTCTTTATCTGAACTATCAGCTTCTTCTTCGGGAATGCCATCTTCTGGAATGTCTTCTTCTTCCTCGACCTGTTCGTCTAAGGAAATACCCAAAGTTTTTCTCATCATTGCCTCAATACTTTGAGCAAAATCAGTGGTATCCTGGAGCATGTATCCAGATCTTAATGTGGCAGTTCTAAAAAGCATTAAAGCCATATCTTTGGCGTTAGGATCTGTAGTGTCATCACTAACTCTTTTTAATAATTCTTTGATCAAAGGATGTCTTGGATTAATTTCCAAAGTTTTCTTCTGATTCAAATAATAGGATCTTTGTGGGTCATCAGATTTTTGGTGGGCATTGGAAACAGCTAATCTTTCCATGTTGCCAGTCCATCCAAACATGCTGGCAACCAAGGCACAAGGAGAATCACTCAATCTTTCTGATACTGTAGCTTTCGCAATTTGGTCTTTTAATGCATCATCTGCAAGCCATTTGGTTAGCGGTTCGAAAGACTTTTGAATTTGCTCCAAACGTTCTTTGCCTCCTTCAGCTTCAGTTAAACTAAAACCTTCTTTGGCAACGTTTTGGAACTTTTTGCCTTCAAATTCAGGGATTGCAGAAATTGCGTATTCATCTACTGCTTCAGTAAGGAATAAAACTTCATAGCCTTTGCGTAAAAGTCTTTCGACAAATGGAGATTTATGCACTTCTTCTCTTGTAGCTCCAGCCATGTAGAAGATTTTATCTTGTTTAGGCTTCATGCGGCTAACATAGTCAGCTAGAGAAGTCATTTTATTACTATGTGATGACAAGAACATCAACAATTTTGCCAATCTAGTTCTGTTGGCTGGGTCTTCAATAATTCCAAGTTTAATGTTTGTAGAGAATTCTTTCCAGAATTGTTCATATTCAGCAGCAGGAATCTTTTTCAGCATATCTAATACTTTACGGACCAGCTTCTTTTTAATAATTTTAATGAGTTTGTGTTGCTGCAAAGTTTCACGAGAAACATTCAAAGGCAAATCATCAGAATCTACAACTCCTCTGATAAAATTCAAAAAAGATGGCATCATATCGTTGAATTCGTCTGTAATAAATACACGTCGTACATAGAGTTTAATATTGTCAGTTTTAGTTCCATATCTGTTGAAGCTTTCTGAGGGCTGCACTTTAGGAACGTAAAGTAAAGCCTTGAATGTGACTTCTCCTTCAGCAATGAAATGGATTCTTGACAATGGGTCTTTATCATCTTTAGTTAACGCTTTATAAAATTCATCATATTCTTTGTCTGCAACTTCTGAAGGTTTTCTTGTCCAAATAGGCTTGTTATCATTTAGTTTTTCCCAGTCCCACACAGTTTTGGTAATTGTCTTAGTTTTTGGCTTGGTTTCTTCCTTTTCCTCTTCTATGGCAGCATCTTCTTCATCTTCAACAGGTTCTGGTGTAGATTTTTCTGATGCCTCATCATCAGCTGGTTCTTCTACAGTTTCAGTATGACTAGTCCATAAGTAAATGGGGAAGTTGATGAATTGTGAGTATTTTCTTACAAGATTTTTGATGGTTTCATGATCGAGGAAATCTTTGGCTTCAGGTTTGAGTTGCAGACTTACAGTGGTTCCTCTTCTCAAAGAATCGCCTCTTGGATCATCAGCAATACTATAACTAGAAGAATCAGATTCCCAAATGTATTGTTTATCATCATTATGCTTTGAAGTAACAATAACTTTATCGGCTACCAAAAAGGCTGAGTAAAATCCTACTCCAAATTGACCAATCATGTCATTTAATTCCTGGGTAGATTCGGCATTTTGCATTTTACCCAAAAATTCTGCTGTGCCGGACTTAGCAATGGTTCCCAAATTATTTACAAGGTCCTGTTTGGTCATACCAACTCCTGTGTCAGTTATATGTAACATCCCTGTATCTTTATCAGCCTTAATTCTTATGTTCATTTCTGCCATTGTGTCTAGGACGGACTTGTCAGTTAAAGACAGCAGACGGATTTTATCCAGAGCATCAGAAGCGTTTGAAATTAGTTCTCTCAGGAAAATCTAAAATAAATAGAACAATCATTAAATTTAAATTTGTTTGTTTTAAAAGATGTTACCTCTTTGTTTCTATATAATGAATTGATGATAAGTTTCATCATCCTGTTAACTTCTGTTTTGAATGTAAACTTTTCAGCCTGGTCTCTGAGTTCTTTGAGTTGAGCTACATTGAGTCCATCCAGCTTGATTGCTTCTTCCTCCCTTTGAACGGCTTCATCGTCTGAAAATGAGATGGTATTAAAATACATGTTAAACAACCTGCTACACTGACATTAATAATTTGTTCTTGATGTTTAATAAATTATTATGTTTATCGCACACAAAAGCTAAGGCTGACCCACAGATATTGTATTTTGACAATCTAGAAGAAGACTTGCCCTATTTTATATTTCAAAAATATTGAAGTCTTTCAAAATGTATAGGTAAGTGTAATGTTATAATTAGAAATTATACTACAGACCAGCAGGTGATATTATTTCAAAACAAAAAGGCAACAAATAAATATTTCATCCTTTGAAATCATTGCTGCCTGTCGTCCTGTAGGGGTAATGTAAAATGACAGAAAATCATTGTCCCATAATCTTGTAGGTTACAACATAGACATGCAATGAAATGAGCTGTAATAAATGGTAGTGTTGATAAACCTAATCCAAGTAGTATTACTTTATTGGTTACACAAAAGCAATATAAAACTACAATTCTCAATAGAATGATTACTTATTCACATTCACAATAAAGGAGTATGTAATTTCAACATTCACCATATCAGGGGAACTTCAAGGAATTTGAAATAAAAACAAAAAATTCTCCTGAGGAATCTCCTAAATGATTTAGAATCATATTGTTTGAAAGACTGTTTTAAAATGTAAATTTGTTGACTCTATTTCACAGCATATTTGTGATATTTTGCATTATGAAGTGATGGCTTCGAAGGATTAAATATTTCTGGTCAGCTCATATCTTGGATACCGTTCTCCAAAATATGAAACGAATCTCATGCCGTTTTCCAACAGCATGCCTGTTGTGCAAAATTACCATTAATTTCGATGCACCTGTGAAATCATATACTATATTATTACCCAAATATTGATCAAACATGGAAGCCTTTATGAAAAGCAATGACGAGGAAAAAGTTGAGAAATTAAAACCCTTCAAGTTGTGTTTTCTGGATAGAAATGTTGTGGGACAATCCAATATTAAAATTGGAAAATCTTTGACGATTCGTAAGTAATTTGGTTAATGAATAAAGCACATTAATTAATTTTTTTTAGCTCCTGTGGTATCGCCAAAATTCTATGATCCACAAAATGGCAAAGTTGACCAAAGTTTAATTGGCAAATATGTGGAGATTTTAAAAAAAGAACAAATCTTAGATAAAAGTCGATTGCCAAAAACTGAAAATCAAAGGTAGGTATGTTTACGACAAAAATGCTTTAAATTGAATGAGCATTCAAAACAAATGTTTATACTTTGCTTTACACTTAAAAAATATTTAAAAGACAATGCGTTGTAAACATTTACATGAGTAAGTGCTTACATATTTAGAGGATTTCAAAGAGTATTGAGTATTAATTTGTTTATTGCGTTTTTCAAGGTAAATAGGTATATATTGATAAGAAAAAATATAGATACTTTTCTTATTGAAAGTAAGTCATAAAACAGGATTACTTAAATATCAAAAATGACAGTTTAATCAGTAAAAAAAATTACCTACATGGCCTTAACTCATCAATAACAAGCTTAAAATGGGAAAAATAATATGTTTACTCAAATATATCGATCCATCTATTTATAGGTTTCATTAAGTTATGCTATTGATTTTTTCAATATTATTACTATGTTATATTATATTTGATATAAATACTATAATTTTCTACCTATATATGACTTAATTATACTTGTTTAAGGTATGGTTGGTATCAAGAAAGACTGACTGATGCGGATCCAACCGATAGAAGATTATTTGCACACAAAAGAACAAATATTATTGTTAGAGAACATTTAATGAATTATGCCAAAATAAGGGAATAATATTCCAAAAAAGCCAAATAAACTTTTTAACTTAAATTATAATTTAAATACTAAGGTTTTCTCGAGGGTTTTCTGTTATGAATTTCTGAAATTTTAGAACGACATTTTGTTAGGCATCAAACTTAGGGTTTCATCGAGACGAGAAATCTCGTCTCGAAGGCAATTTCTCGTCTCGTCTCGATCATCGAGACGAGAAATCAACAAAATCTCGTCTCGATGTTTTTCTCGAAGACAATTCCTCGATCTCGATTCGAGATTCTCGAAAACAAAAACTGAATGTAATTAATATTAAAATATATTATATGTATATCCTATTCACAATCCGATGTCTACAGGTACAGGTAAATTTATCAATTTTTTCCTATCAAATAGCATTGAAAGGTGATAAATTTTACCTGTACCTGTGGACATCGGATTGTGAATGGATAATATACAACATAAGTCTGCACTGAAAGAAAGGCGAAAATGTTTTCTGTTAAGAAAATTACGTTAAAATACAGAGCTATACAAAAAAAAAAAACAGCGAATATTGGCCCATAAATAAATAGTATATTATTCAACGAGCGGGTAATGATGGCTATTACTCACGAAGGATGAAGTTTGCACTACGAGCCGCAGGCGAGTAGTGTAATCATCCGAGGCCATATATCCGAATTTATCAAAGATGGCTCGTGATTTTTTGAGTATTCAAGCTACTTCAGTCCTGCAGAAAGACTGTTTTCAAGAGCAACACTGACCATTAGAAAAGAACGAAGCCGATTAACTGGAAAATCGGCTCAATTTTTAATGTGTTTGAAGAGGCTATGTAACAAAGAAATATTTACGGGTGTATAAACAATAACTTCGTTATCAGTTAAGAAACTTTATTTTATATTGGAACATGTTATGCTATCTATATTTTTCTTATGTTTTGTTATTTTTTGGGTGTTTGAAGTTGATTTTTGTTTAATAGTTCAAGGGTCTTTTTTTCTTTAAGAATATGGAAATATTAATTTTCTGTATTTGTTATTTGCTTTGTTATCTTTGTTTTTTTTGTTTTTTTAATTTTCTTATGTCAAAAATGAATTAAAATTATTTCGTATTTCCTAACATAGTCTTTTATTTTCGCTTTACTGACCTATTAAGAGTTGTCTGTGCTTTAGGTATTGCAGCACCTACAAAAATCTCGAACTGTTTTTCTCGATCTCGTCTCCAAAAAAAAAATTCAGTCTTGTCTCGATCTCGTCTCGAAATCGAGACGAGACGAGACGAGAAATCTCGAACTTCGAGAATCTCGTGAAACCCCTAATCAAACTGAGCAACTATGCCATAATTTAACCGACCCTGTTTCTCTTACAGTTTCTGAGATCCCAACGACGGGGCTCGAATTTCAGCTACCCTGTACAGAGTGGTCCAATTCGGACACTTTCTTATAGAAACTCCCTTTATTTTTAGAAATAGAAAAAAATGGATCCCCCACTCTTGATTAGTGCAAACCGCATTTGGATATCTTCAACCGTTTAGCCGCTAGAGGGCGATTCTCGATTTTGAGCAATACTGTGAAGCCTCCATAACTTTTTTGTTTATGAAAATAATTCATTTCCGTAAAGGCTTTCTAGAAGCACTTTCTTAACCAGAATTCAGTGACGTTCTCAATTTTTTTCCATTTGGCTCCAATTTCGAGATATTGACCAAAATCCCATTTTTTTAAATAGGACACCAGATATATACACAACAAAAAAAGTTTTGCACCATCTCATTTTAAGTATTCAGCGATATCTAAATTAAAAAATTATTAATAAAAAAACAATGAACAATTTCAGATTCTTAAACCTTTTTTAGTGAAGGTACTGTACAGGGTGTTTCCTTATATTTTGACCCCTACCTACAGCTTTAGCTATACGAGGTGGAAAAAAACTTTATATATGAAAGTTGTAGGGTTTTATGTCTATTATCTTTTGTGAATGTCAAAATGGGCAAATGACAGATACCAACTGTCACAATAACAAACACTTGCATTTTTCAAATGGAACACCCTGTATATTTTTGGCTAGAATGATAGATTTTTTTCTTCTGATTCCAAATGTACCATATATGTTGATATTTGGTTCAGCTGTTTTCACGCTATTCAAGTTTAAAAATGCATTTACACAACTCTTAATTTAATCTGTCCTGGTTTCTTATATCGATGGTGAGGCTTGCTCAATGCAATTTTGGAATTAAATAGCCCAAAAACAACTGAACCAAATATCAACATAAGTATATGGTATATTTGGAATCAGAAGAAAAAAAGCTATCATTCTAGCCAAAAATATACAGGGTGTTCCATTTGAAAAATGCGAGTTTTTGTCATTGTGACAGTTGACACCTGTCATTTGTCCGTTTTGATATCCGCAGGGGCGAGTTCAGGAATGACACACCCAGTGCGACGCCCTAGCTGTTCAAAAATGCTAGACAGTGCTATGGGCCCAATGGCCAATTGTCAATTCAGGCACACTCATAAAATCGCACTCGCACCCTCTGCGTTATTTCTGAACTCGGCCCTGAAGATAATAGACATAAAACCCTACCACTTTCATATTTAAAATTTTTCTCCACCTCGTATACCTAAAGCTGTAGGTAGGGGTCGCAAATAATGGTTGATCCATTTCCAAGACTAAGATTTGTCCCGAATTATAATAATTAACCACTTGCTTTGCTATGAGCATAGCATGCCGAATCATTGCTGCAGAGTGGGATACTTTATAAAATAAAGGTAACAAACAAATTTTAGAGTGTGGCAGTACTTCCTCAACTGTTGAGGCTTGAAAAGCCGCCAAAGAAAATATCATGTCATTAGCATGAGATTACCCCCACTACATTTTTGTTCTTGTGGGGCCTTACCTTAAAAACATAACCAAAAATAAGGTCACAGCCATTATGTAGAATTTCGTGCTCTATCGAATGGCACCAGTATGACGTTTCTATCTTTCACCGTTTTTGAGAAAAATAATAAAAACTAAAACAATCCACTTTTCAAATTTGAGGGGGGAGGAGGGGGGGGTCGGCATGACTTTTTGCGATGGGTCTGTTTAAAAATCTACTAATTCTGACATGTTCTTTCACTTGTGGAAAGGATTTGCTTTTACTCAAAAACCGAAGTATGAAACCCTCAAGTCACTAGGCTACTATTTTACTAACATCACAAGTTGAAATGTAAAAAGTAAAAAAATAAAATTTTACATTAAGATAAAAATTACTAAAAAACTTAATTAATTATAATAAACATAAATTGGTAAGAAATTGAAGATACAACAGGGTGAAAATTGAAAGATTAAAATCATTTATCTCTTGCAAAGTGTAAGACTGCTTTTTTAAATTTCTCAACGAGTTTCCCAATTTCCTTCATATTCCTGATATCAGCAGGAAAGAGTCTGTAGGCTTTGATACCCTGATAATAAGGGCCTCTTTCAGAAAATGTGGAGCGATGTGTGGGAATGACGAGTTCATCCCTTCCTCTGGTAAGTATACCAATATTATTGACATAGCCATCTTGATTGGTTGCGAAAAGGTGTTGATTTTTTTTGACAAAAGTTACCAGTGTGACAAAATACAATCCAGGCACAGTAAGTAGGTATATTTAGGCCCTCAAAGAAACGCCTACAAAAAGTTCAGGGATGTAGATGTAGCATACCTACATCTAATTATTCTTTTTTCAGTTAAAAATCTCATCAGAGAATCTGGATGCTCCCCAAATAGCATTATCTGAGACTGCATATGAGTAAAGCAAAGATTGAAGAAAAAACTGATTGTATGAGGACCAGACTGTCAATCAACCCATCAATCATAAGTGCAGTGGAGGCGTCCACGCCCACATGAATTGTGTAAAGAAAATAAGTTCTCCGAAAAGTTATCAGCACATACAGGCTCACATACAGGTCTATGCCTGAATTGTGGAACATTAGTTTACAAGAATATTGTGACAGAGAAACAAAAAATGTATGTACAATTTATCATCCATACCCTCAAAAAAATAGCTAGCTGCTATAAATCGACGACAGGATTTTTTTTCATAAGTAAACTAACGAGTGATGAATGATTGAGAAAAATACTGACAAAGCAAAAGGCTGGCAGTATTGAGGACTATCAGCAATACAATACTGATTGTATGAGGGCCGCTTTATGGCAATTATAGTTAAAAACACTAAATACTGTCATTAGTAAGGTTATGTCACTGTGAGTGTCCTGTTTTGGGTATAAATAAGTTAGGCACTATTCGAAATAAACTCTCGTTTATGTTGGCTTTAAGCAACAATGGTAAAATAAAATAAATTATGCACAAAGAGCTGCCTACACCCGGCTTAGACAAAACAAGTACCCTTACTTACCAGTTCGAGAACCTTCTTTGCTGGCTCCTAGATCTATGTTTACTGTTGGGGTATCTTCAGCGTCTAGGTTAGCTTTTGCCGCCCCTTAAAATACAAATATTCTCAATTAGGCTCAGTGTCGAGTATGAAAGTTTTTGTGATTTAAAACCGAATATCATACATGGGCCCCAAAACAAGAGGCATTATCACTTAAAATTGACTTACCAATAAACGCAAAAGCGACTACACACACAAGCACGAGCTGTTTCATATTCGTAGATCCAAAATTTGTAATTTAAAACATTGAAAATCAACTAAGCAATTATTAAAATAAAAGAGATTCGATAAGCAGCAGCCAAAAGCACAATACAATCCTGAATGCTGACTGAACACGAACACCGAACGTCAATCCAATCCTCAATATTTTGACAGAAATTGTACATTCGTTCGACCAATCACATTCCACCACGAAATCCGACGTGAAGAAAAAATTAGGCAAAACGGCTGTTCTTGAACAAATGGCCGCGTGTGATTGGTCAAAGGGTTTCCAGAATTAATTAGAATCTTAACGTGAATTTTCAAATTTTATTGCTTTTGTCGTTGTTACGTTTTTAAAGTTTATTCTTTATAAGTCAGTTTCCAATGCTTTCACGATTTCAGTAACATTTTCTGTTTTTATCCCTTTGAAATTTACAGTTTGAAATTGGGCTTCTAGCGAGATCTGTCGGAAAATATTAATACCAACAATATTGGTTTCAACGAATGCTGCAGATGGCGCCACAGTGGGCAAAAGTGCAACGCTGTCATCGGTTTGACAAAATCAAGACCTATAAAAACTGAGGATTGCTCCATTTACCGTGCATTTGTGTGTTACGTCACTACAGATGCTAGAATCGTTTATTTTCCATAAGTATTTATGCGAATTTTAATTCGCTATAATATTTCTCAAGTATTTTCGTAAAACTGTAAAACTATAATTTATTTATTTCCAAAACAATACTTTTAGTATTGATATCGGAATAAAAGGCCATATTTTAGCTGTGATGAATATTTATTTTTAGTACTGTTGCCTGTTTTTTCTTGTTTGCGTTTCTTTTTTTGTGGACTCTATTGTTACTTATTGTGTTTTTGAAGCTTTCAAAGTTCATTTTAATTGTTAGGAATTTTTGTATATTTTTTATAATTTTGCTTTTTTTTTCTTTATTGACGTGCCCAGAGTGCACCCAAATTACCCCAATCAGGGACTGGGTTGAAAAACGCCCCGTGGTTTTTACACTAAATGCTAGACGGTGCTATGGGCCCAATGGCCAATTGTTAATTCAGGCACACCCATAAAATCGCACTCGCACCCTGTGCGTTATTTCTGAACTCGGCCCAGAAAAGGCGCACCCAGAGTGCACTCCAAGTGATGACGTCAGAACACTCTGACAAACAACTACCCTTTGAATATAAAACTACAGGAAGGAGCATAACTTCGAATCTGCGCGATCAAAATATGTGGAGGTTGCATATGGCCGACTAGTATTTCCGGTTTGGCAGTAGCGTATATTTATTTAAATATGATTGTCAATATTATGACTCACTCTTTTCTCACTAATTCCAGTACTTATCATCACTTAAAACCGCTAAAATCCATTAAACATCCACTTAAATGAGGACACAGGGAACCACCAAAACAAATGATGAGTCCAAACTTGGAGGCTCAAAATGGCGGCTTCCGTCGCTTTTTTGTTTGCAGTGACAGATAGACAACGCTCCTTCCTGTAGTTTTATATTCAAAGCAACTACCCTACCTTCAGACTCCATTTCTTAACGCACTCCGACATTAACTTTGTTTTGGTTTCACTCAGAACTAGTTCGGAATCAGTCCGCACATGCGCATATTAAAAAACACGTTTTGGTTTTTTCAGAATCGTAATCGAACTGTGTTGACAGTGTTTTGGTTTATCTAGAACTTTTTAAGAACAATTCTGGGATTGTTCTAGAACGGTTCTCTCAGTTCTTGCTTTGAAGGAGGAACTGTTTGAGAATTTTGTGTTTTGGTTTTTTTAGTTCTGAATCGGTTCAGAACTAGTATTAGAACAGTCCTCTATTATTTTTTTGTGCACAAGCAGTTCTGCGCAATACCAGAACCGTTCCAAATTTCGAACCAAAACAAAGCTATTTTTAAAAATTTTTAATATGTAAGTACTTCGTGAAAGATTTTTGGCGTCAATAGATTAGCGATATCAAATCCCGAAATGCCGAGACTAGCCACTGCATTGTTAATCTCATCTCAATCCCTGGCTCTAAATAATTCAGCATTTATGTATTTTTAGTTCAAATCTTTTAATATTTTCCCTTATCTTATGTGTATCATCAGTTTTCTATGATCACTAAAATAAATATCTTCTACATCAACACTACATCTACTTTGCCAATTTATCATCTATCACACCAACATATCAGCCTGATCAATAAAAGTGGCTGCGTTGAGGGTTATTCTAAGGTAGCAATTCTCTACATTTATTTTATTACCTTCCTACACAACTATAATTACTTGAAGCTAGTAGATTTTTGTATTCTTTGGTTTATGTTAGGTCGGTTTCTGCAGAAATCACAAACCATTCAGAGTGAATTTCATTGATTGAAACTAATTTTCTGACTGTTTCTGACTGTTTTCAACCAATGAAATTCGCTCTGACTGGTTTATGATTTCTGCAGAAACAGACCTGTTATAGCTAGTATTCAACACATTCAAATTAATATCACCATCACCTATAATTATATGGTTATAGTAGAATGTTAAATAAAACATGCACAGCAAAATTATTTTAGAAAAAGATTAAGCAGATCTTAAACCAAACAAAAAGAAAGCTGAGTGCATTGTGATAAGGATCTTGGGGATGGTAAAAAAAATATTCCACCAACAGAAACAACATTGGACTGTTACCAGATAAATCAGTTTTATTTCGTGAAAAGAGATATACTATAACCTATAACGATATGATGTTTCCATTTTTTCAGGGATTATTATACCTGAGAATAAATGATGGAAGGGTTGCACCAGCGGTGTTTTGTGACTTATCAAAGGCGTTTGATTGTGTGTGTCGCAGAACAATGCTGTCGAAACTTGAGAGGCAGTGCATTTGCTCACGTCGGGCAGCGCGCTTTTCCTATGAAGCCTATTTATAGGGCAATCCAAACAAAATGGTGGTCAATGCCAAAAAATTGGCGCCATAAATTTAATTCAAGCAATCGTGACATTTTTCATCAAGAAACTGTTTTTTGTGTATTTTGTGGTGCTTTTAGATGATTTTCTAGTGTTTGGGAGGATAATTTTCGTATTCTAAGATGGAAAGTTTTTAGTTTAAGAAATTATTAGTGGAAAAAAGGCATTGGCCTCCATTTTGAATTCCATTTTGACAGGTCGTTGGATTGCCCTATATTCGATTCCATGTTTTTATAGCTAAATCTGGCGTACAATTTCGACTATAGTAGAAAGTTCTCGTGACTCAGACGCTACGCTAATACGGTACCGCTAACAATACGGTATTTTACATGGTATTTTATAGTTCTTGGACACGAAGACACAAAAATCCTTCAATCCATTATTCTGTTTACATTTTGACAGCTGAGTTCAGTGATCTAACCCCAATTTTTTTTGCTTGTTTTCTAATTTTTATTTATTCTGAAGATTCCTGAGTTTCATTAATTTTTCCATGGTGTTTTTCATGGAGGAATTATTAAAAGTTGCTGTTCTTGCAGACGTAAATGGAGAATGGAGCGTAAACTAACTTTGATATAGCATAGCGTTACGGTAAGGCATCCGCTAACTCCCGTTAGGTAGCGGGCTCCGCTAACGCTAATACCGTAAGAACTGTCATACTTGTCAAATAGCGTTACGGAATTTGAAATTTGGACAGCACGAGAACTCTCTAGTATGTAAGAGCGTAGACTAAGATAAGTCAATTTTAATTCGATATTTGGCGTGCACGTTTCGATAAGTGATAAGTAAATTTTATAAGCTCGATTATTTTGATAGAAGTTGTTACTGTTTGTGAAGTGAGTTTTAGTGAACCCGGAATCCGTGCCAATTTGGTGTTAGAAGTGCGATTATAAATAAGACAACTGATGCATGAATTTGAGCTAATTAGTAGGATCACTTAGGGCCGGTTTCCCAATAGCGAGTCACCTCCGGGTTGATTTTTACTCCAGGGTAAGCGTGTCCAGTTGCTATATTCACCCTGGCCTGGAGATAATTAATGGTGCATTGATTTGAGCGAGCTGAATAGTGAAATAGTTGGCAAGATAACTACTGGACTAGTTTGAGCTAATTAGTGGGATTATTAGCAAGATAATTAGTGCGGGAACAATCAGCGAACTTTTATTGAACTAAAATAGTGACTTTATCACCAGATTTGACATCGAAAAAAGAGTTCACAAACGAATTTTCTGAAATATTAATATTCTACAAACTTCTATAGAAATCTATTTGGAAACCGTAAGTGATACAAGAATAGGGAATAGTGATTTTATTACTGGATTTCACATCAAAAAACAAGCTTACAAGCGAATTTTCTGGAATGTTCTACAAAACTTTATAGAATTCCATTTGGAAACATTAAGTTATACAAGAACAGTGACTCTATTACTGGCTTCAACATCATCAACATCGAAAAACAAGCGCAAAAGCAGTCTGGGAAATCGCGAGTGATACAAGAATAGTGACTAGTCTCTTCATTACTGATTTCAACATCGAAAAACAAGTCCACAGAGTGATTTTTTTAACATTCCGTTGTGTTCTATTTGAAAATTTGACTTCGCCAAACAGATCCAAGATACTCTATGGTAAATACACGACACCAACCAGCCGGAATGGAGCAAGTCATTCATATATGTTGGCGGATTGCATGAAGAATTTGGGCGACAAAAGACTGGAAAAAGTATTTATTCATATCCGTAAGGCAAACCTCCCATTAAATGACGAGGGAATTTTTACTCATACGAGAGAAAAATCTAAGCAATACGTGAATAGCCTGCCTCGACCTCGGGACAAACATGAACTCCGAAGTTTTCTTCGGCTTTGTACATACTACAGACGATTTGTGGAAAAACAGCTATTTTTGATTGGACCACCGACTGTGACGTAGTTTCTGCGAGGCTTAAGGCGGCTCTATGTTCCAGTCCTATATTAGGCTAACGACGTGTACATGGAAAATTCATTTTGGACACAGACTACAGACGCAAGCAAAACAGGCATCGGAGCTGTCCTGTCGCAAATGCAAGATAGAGAAAAAAGGGTCATTGAATACTACAGTAGAGTGCTTACCAAGCCCGAGAGAAATTACTGCGCGTTACAAGAAAGGAACTGTTAACAATAGTCAGAGCGGTTGACCATTCCCACAAGCGCCTGTATGGCACTTGTGGAAGAATTTCTCATAAGAACAGACCCATGCATCGCTCCAAATGGCTTCTAAACATGAAACATACAGAAGGGCAGCAAGATGGCTGGAGAAGTTACAGCAGTACAATTTTCAGATCAAACACCGTTCTGGTAAACTGCATAATAAAGCAGATGAGATGCCTTATCCAGGCGACAGCGCAATGCAAACACTACCTCAGAATAGACCAGCGTGAAGGAGTGCCTATTATTAGAAGCCTCCGATTTGGAACGGATCGAAAATAGAGTTCCGAACAGCTGACAAGTGACCAATTGAGAGATAGTGACATTATGTCGTTTTAAAATCTAGAGGAATCCGGAAAATCCAGACCAACCCGAAGAGAAATATCACCTAGAAGCTTAATTTTCAAGGTTCAATGGGACTTAAGAAGATCCGAGTGACATGTCAAAAAAGCCGATGCCTATCACGAGGTTGACGAAAGAAAATTCAGCCCCAAAACCGTTAAAAAAATCAAACTTCTTTTAAGAATTTTGTAGCGCCACCACATTCGGTGGAAATATAATGCTTGAGCAAATACGAGTCACATATCGAAAAAGCACATGTTTATTTCGGGGTTGAAGTGGAGAAATTATGAATCCCAAAACTAAAAAAAAAAATATACCAATTTCTGTTGAATAATTTTGTAGCAACACCAACGTTGGTGTAAATATTGTTTACAAAGATCTGGAGCGACATATCAGACAAGCACATGTTTTTCTCGGGTGATGTCTAAACTCTACCTACCAGACCCCCGTGTCTTTTAAATATTGTTCTTGTATTCACCGTCGATTCGTATCAATTCTGCAACTTATAGTAATGTATTGGAAGCTGTGGTGTTGGCATGCTCTTTTTTATGTACGAAGTAGTCTACTTCATTTACATTTGTTTATTGCGGAACCAATAATTTATAACTACATAATATGCACAGCCAAACCTGATATATTTTTCAATTAATTCTTCAATAATATTACACTACCTATAATTACATAAAAAAATAATAATTATTGTCACCATTTATGCTAATAAACCATAGGGGACAATTGGAACAAACAAACTTGATATGATCGTTGTCAACAGCTCAAAGCTTTATAAATTATTGATACGAGGTTTAAAAGAGTAGTTATTGCATTTCACACTTTGTTAAAAAATAACTATTTGTAATACTGCTGGACAGTGGCGTACCCAGATTGGGAAAGCAGAGGAGGCATTACTTCCCCGCCAGCCAAGACACTATCTCAAAATCTCAAGGAGAAAATTGAGAGACATTACAGGTCCTCTTCCTACAACAAAGTCGAGAAATATGAACCTCTAAGAATAGGGGCAATTTCAATAATCATATAGAGTTGGGCTTTGTCAAATTTATGCTTCTCCTAAGTTGGAAATATTTTGCACAATCTGGCAACAGCGCATGTGTTTCCCCGGCGAAGGATCCAGAAATACGAAGTCCCAACCCGCTGGCTTGAAATAATAGAGATAACCCTTAAACCTGTAGGTACTTAGCGATCAACACCTGTATACCTGATGACTATCATTTTTCGACAATGGAATCTAACGTTGATGAAATAATCTTGCCAATACTAAGTTTCCGCTTTGTAGTACAATACTTCAAATTGAGGAAGTTATGTTTTGGAATCATGTAGGTACCGATGAGAAATTCGTCATCCTCGCATTTTTGTTGATTTTGCGGACTCTGACGTCATATTCCCTGTCCGCTTCTCCGCAGCTGTATAAAATTCGATTTTCAAATCGTTTTATTTACAAAAATAAGCGTTATTTTGGAAAAAAAGTATACAGATGTTATTAGAATGATTAACACAATAATTCAAACATATCTTTTTGAAAAATGTGAAAGTGGCCTATTGAGTAGTTAGTTGTGATTGTCAGTTGATCAATCATATAAGGTCATATAGATATATTTTCGTGAACTGTTAATTTGAGTGGTTCAAAGGTACCTAGTAGCAACTAGTAGGCAGTGTTGGTTTAGTTCTGATTTTTGTGTTATTGTTCTAAATAAAGTTTATTTAAGTTTGTGAGAGTAATCTCAATTATCTCCGAACCGATAGATATACCTACTTGAAGTTATTATTCATGTCCTCGCACATTGTTTATATTTCTATCGTTGATTCCTAGACTATGTAGGTGCTAACATAACGAAACGAATCTCAGCAAGGTCAAGCTTCAAAATAAATTACATCTTCGGAATAATAGCAGAATAGTAAGGTACATGACACCTACGACAAGTTTTTAATTGCACCAAATGCCGGAACCGCTATTGCATTGTCATCCAAACCAGTTTATAAAAATCTTCCCAAGACAATGTGCGGATAATTTTTGCTTCTCGGGTCAACCTTTCTAATGGAAATGTTTTTAAAACAGTTATTTATATTGACTTTTGTAGTTTTTTTGGTTAGTTGCAGCCAGAAGAAAGATGAGGAAATAAATTTAAAAGAAGTGCCAGGCTTGCTTATTATTGAATCATCTTCAAAGGAACCTCAGAGAAAAAATAATGATTCTTCTCCACCTCCTCTAACAATAAGAGACCCGGAACTATCTACAGAAATTATAGAAAAAAAACTAACTATTTATCCTAATATAAATTCAACAACAGAAGATGAATCTAGTAATAAAGTGTTTTCAGCTCCGACCGAATCACTAGAATCTGCTGGGAAAAACTTTGAAATTGATAATCGAAACATCGCCGATGTGCCTATCAATGACTGTCCTATGGGACAAGGAAGAGATCCTAGTGGAGAATGTGTCGATATATTTTAATGAAATTGTTTTTATAGTTGTTAAGGCAAGTGATTTTTCAAAATTTTAAGGGGTTTTTCTGGGTAATAAGTAATATACTTTATCATTAAATGAGTATAGCATAAGTCTAAAATTCTCCTCTAAATTATACTCATTGCCAAACGGTAGAAAATAATAAAGGGTTGTTCATTTCAAAAAATAAGATTTTGATTACCTACTCATTCGTTATTTGACAGGTGGTTAGTGAGAGAAATATTACTAATGATCACTACTACTAACTAATAATCAACGTAGTCTAATGAGACGGATCATGTGCCATGAATCGAATTGAAACACAAAAGATGGTGGAAATGTGAAATGCCAAAATGAAATCTGATACTGAAGTAGGTATTGAGAAAATAGTGTGTATGTCCATCTATGACGTATTATAATGAATAATTTTTCAGGTAGACCTATTGATTTGTTAATTTGGCATGATCTGTTGAAATGTTCCTTTAGTCGTTTCTCAAATTTTTTAACACTTTGATACCTATCACCTTTTGCCCTTTGTGAATGTTGTCATTATTCCACTGTCACTGTCAAATCTTACGTTAAATTTGTCAAATTCAACAACAAGAGAAACATGCGAAGATCAGTTTTAACATAAAATAAGAGAAAAAAGTTGCCCAAATTTGTTAAGTAATGTTATATTTTTTCTACATAAACGCCATTAGGGGTTTCCACATTGTCAACGTCAGTTAGTTATAATTCCCTGTAGTTTAAAATCATACATTTTTATATATTTAAACAAATGACGTCAAGAGTATAATAATAATAGGTACTTCATTTGTCAATTTTTAACATTTGAACACCAAAATAAGTATTCTGTTTTGAATTTGAAGTGTCGTGTATGTTTAATGCCTTATTATAAAATGGTTATTTACGTTACAAGACTGAAAGTACTCGAAATATCGAGACAAGATCGAGACCGATACCTCAGCCTAATTCGATACCGAGATAGGAGTTAAAAGTTTCAGTCTCGGGAAGCTATATTTACATGTTTTTAGATCTGTATTTGTGTAGTAGGTACTAATCAGTCAATATAGGTATTTTAAAGCATCGTCAATTTGTCGATCTAGGCGCGTGATATTATAATTATTATAATTGTACGCCAAAATTTGAGCCGCTGGACGTTGCAATGTTTTTCTCCCGCTTCATAACATCAAAATGTTATAAGATTTACCATGAAAATATCTCTTTTGAGTACTTCTTTGGTGCGGATGGGAAAGTTCTCAAATACTTGGCCAAAAGACCAGAAGAAATGTCGATATTTTAATTTCGTTCGATAAAATTGTTAATGATGGATATAATAATAACACATTCACAATGTGTTGTGATTTTACCGATACGACCGCATAATGCTACAAGGTCAAGTTTACGAAACCATTGTATTCTTTCAAAACCGAACACTGATTATTCAAAAGTCCATTAAGTATACCTCAGCCGACCAGTTTATTAACAGCTCGCTGAAGAAAACAATGTGCACGCAGTGACCTTCCCAAAGTTCCTCGCAGTTTAGTACCGGGTACCTATTTATTCAATTATGTGCTTAAAAACAGTTTTAGTTGTTCTTTTTATTATTTATATTGGAAATTATTCCAGTGCCGCTCAGCAACAACATTGCCAAAAAATACAGATAAATAATAGTAAAATGTATGGAGAGTGTTGTGTTTTTAAAGTTGAAAATATCAATTTACAAGACGAAGTTGAAGAAGCTTTGTTAAAAAGTTCACTTATCAGAGAGTCACAAGCAAAAAATGATTTTACAAATCATAATCCAAAACTCCCTCAATACCATGGAATTAATAGACCACCTCCTGGCGCTAAACAAAACCAACAATCTTCAAATAATAAACACATAGAAGATTTACAGCCAATGGAATCATCACTACTTCCAAACATCAGAGAAAAACCGAATAATCAATTTGACAATCCAATCATGATGAAATTTCCATCAAATAATAGAGGTAGAGAAAATCAATATCCGAAAGAAAATATTGAACCTCATAGTCCTGAAAATCTGCAATCAGGGGGAAACCGGGAAACCTTTCATAGAGATGTGCCCAGACCCACACATCAAGACATTCGCCCATTTGAAGAATCCCATAGGCATAGCACGCCGCCTTCACTTCCAGTAGATCAACATGAAAGAGATTTTTTACCATACTCTCACAGAAAAACGCCTATAATTGAAAACTCAATGGCTAAAAATACTAGAGTTAGACCACAAGACACTCCAGTAATTTCACATAAAAAGGATCCACAAGATAATGCAAGAATTGTTGATTATGTTCCCCCAAGAAGACAAGATGATACAGAAATGGCCGATAACTATTCACCGAGAAACCAAGGTAATCTAGAGCCAACACGATTACCAGAAGATTTTCCAGAAAGAAGACCACAAGATAATCCAAGTTTCGAAAATCTTCATCCAATTGAAGAACCATTTACCAGACCTAATGTCCAACGACCAACTTCTCCTGCTCTCCAAAGAAATTCGCAAAAATCTAATATGAAGGCAGAAAAAAAAGTGTCAGTCTCAACCAGTGATACCTATCAATCTACAATAAAACCGTTGATAAAATCAACCACAGAGGATGATTCAAGTGATATCGTATTTTTGCCTGATGAACAGTCTACGGAAGTACCCAAAGTGGTAGAAAATACGACTATTACTTCTAATGTCAGTGGGGTGGACCTGGACAATAGAAATGCTGTGGGTGTGCCCAATGAAAGAGTGTTGCCAAATGGTGATCAAGCCACAGAATTTTAATGTAAATAATTATTATATAATTAATTTTATTGGTTGTGAATAGCGAATATGTTTCAATAAATCTTTATGGTAAGTAAGGTAAAAATGTTGTTTTGTTGCCCCAAATAGCACAAAAACTTGTCTTTAATTTTGTTTTCAATTAAGAAGTTCATTAACATTTTTAAACAGCATTAATTTCATATTCATGAGATTTATATAGTCCAGGGTCCTCGACAGGATTTTGTGACCTTTTAATCAACCATAATTTCTCTTTTTTTTAATGTGTCAAATTAATCATTATACAGGGTAGAAAAAAATTATATTGATTTTTAGATATTCTCTGTACTTATTACTCTTTCTATATCAAGCTTGAGTATCGTGACCCAAATGGAAAAATTACATTCTTCGAACATTAATATGTATTTTATTAACTTGTGGAAAGGCTATAGACTTACTAGGGTTCAGTCAATTGTTAGGTAGGTATACGAAAAATTGCAATGCCGTAAAGTGAGTATTTTTTGCGCCTTCAGGGGATATTTTGCACCACAGATACAAAAGTATTCAAAATGAAATAGTTCTGTCCCTGTGATTTTGGTGCACGCCAAATTATTTTCGATGTATAGATGACACTAGGCCTATTGTCAAATACAATATTTAGTCCACATACGACCAAGGGGTGCTTCGAAACGGCTCATACTTTGAGGTTAGAAGGAAGCAAAATTTTACCTTGGAAAAATGGGGACACATTGCACAAAGTTGAAAAATTACCCATTTTATTTTTTATTTCGTAAATTATTGTAAATTTATTACCGAAAATATTTTTCTCTTATATTTCTATGGTGCAATGTTTTCATTTAAGCAGGTTATCCAATTGCGTTTTACTTCATAAAACCCGATACAAATTCTGGTGGTGCAAAACATACCCACACACTCTGGGATACTTTGCACCAATTTTTTGGGTTTTAAAAAAATTGAATACGCAGTTGCATTTGAGAGAAAATTATGAAAATCATAATGCTATATCTACATATTACCCATTGCCAACTAAATATTACGAAGTCATTCAGAAGTTTCAATGCTATGTAAAATATCAAAATATAAAAATATAGCAAAAAATTTAGCACAGTATACTTTACGGTGGTTATTATTTATTTTAGACAGAACCAGACTCATGCAAATTGCATCAATTTTGCTCTTTGTTGAAATTCAGAAATTTTTTTGTAGTTTCACTGGAACTCTTAGAATAGGGCGGGAAGATACCTGATATAGAAAATATGTATTTTTCTCAGTAAAAAAAAAACAATAATTTCTGTTTACTTTGAAAAATTATAGCATTGACGTACTACCAGATGGAATGGTAAGGTAATTCCGATTTACCTCAGGAGGATCCGAATAGTAAAGGATTATAAATTAAAAGATAAGCAATTAATTATTGTCTTCCAATGGCAGGTAGGTACTATTAATAGGAATGATTATTGTGATACAACAGGAAAATTCCTAACTTTTTAATTAGTTTCCTGTAAAATACATACCTATATAGGTACCTATAAAAATTCAATTGAACATCAGTCAAATTATGTTTAAATCGCAGTTAAAAAATATTATAAAATTGAAGGCCAAGTGAGTAGTTTTCAGGGAAAAGAATATAATTGGAATTATCTAATTTTTTTTTTATAATATTATGTTTTTCAGTGGCGTACCTAAAGGTAAAGTATGATGGGGCTTTGAATATAATCTTTTCATATCTAGTTCCTTTTGATGAGATCTACTAGAGTATTTAGAAAGCATCAGCATCCTTAAGGCGTGCCAAATAAAATTCGTTAAATTTCACTGATTTACCCATCGAGCTTCTTTACCCATACAAATTAACCCGACATCCTGACCCATTTCAGTTTAAGACATTCAAATGGGTTATCAGGTTCGATAACTGAAATAAAATTTTAATGAAATAGTCTAACTAAACATTCTTATCACTTCATATGTGGTACCTATATTAACGTCGTAATAAATAATTAATCTTCAAACTGGCGAATATCCCGTCAAAACTGAGCATGCGCGATGGTGACGTCACAAGGTACTATTGTCATATATTATTTTGTTTTGACATTCTATTACCACATTTTTTGACAAAGATTTGTGATATTTTTGAGTTAAAAATGGTTTATAGTTATTGGCTATGAAAGTACAACAATTTACACTCCTGAGAGGACACTTATTCAGGTACGTATTATATGTCATTAAAAAGCCATATTTACTTTTGTGGAGACCATTTTATTGTGAGTATTTAACTTTGGGAAGAAAAGGTAAATTGAAAAAAAAAACCTTTGATCTACTTATGAAATAAAAATATTAAAAAAAATATTAGCCCTACCTCACTTTTGTTTGTTTATAAACATGACAGATAGCAATATAAAATGTCAGCTGTTGACGCGATCGTACTTAGTGACGTCGGAACTAATGGCGTAGTGTTTTCTTGTGTCGTCAACTTAAGTCCTGTTTCCTGTTGAATGCGGTGCAGCCAACTGCCTTTCCTGCGCTTCCGTGGATGGTCGGAGTACTCGTAGCACTATACTCTTCATAGATAACAGGATAACTTTGACCTTCTGGATCAGTATCAGTCGTACTTTCCTAGTTGATCACTTCCTAGCTGTTCGGGACTCTTTTTGATCCGCATCCAATCCAAAGAAACTCTTTCTAGCTGATCAATTCTGAGGCATGCAGTTCTTGTCTTGATCTAGGCATGCTCGACGTTGCAATAGTACAGGAACCATACGGGATGATGTTCAACAAATTAAAGACAAGCTGAAATTTGGTGAGAGACTGTGTTTTAAGGTACTAAATACCCTCTGAAACCCCAGCGCCGAGGCGTTGAGCCCGTCACCCCAAAACCTTAAGTCGGGTGAAATCTACCTTTTTTTACATTTTTCCTAATAACTTCAAAACTGAGCAGTTTAGGAAAAAATGCCAAGAGAAAAAAATTGTAGAGAAGAAGATTTCCTACCAAATAGGTATACAGCATCTATTAGCAGTCAGTAGTGTACTCAGGATTTATCTAGGAAAACCTGGCGCCCTACTTGGATAGAATTCTCCGGATTGTTCACGCGACGCGCAGACAATTACATTTCTTAGAATCGGGTCGAGCTCCCGAGGCAATTTCGTAACAATAGCATCAATTACATCTTTTGCTCGAAGCTGTATCGTTCTTGAGCAGCTGGTGTTGACTTTCGTAAAGTAATTACCTAAACTATTGCCAGAAGCTATTATCTAGATATAGTTCGTTTTTAAAAAGAACCTATACCTAAATAGTTTTCCTAAATTTTCTAATTCCACCCTGAGTATTTGAATTAAAATAAAAAAAGTCACAGTTCCAATATTTCATGTCGTCCTGCTTTGTGCCAGCCGCATACAGTTGCAACCTAAATGGAAATATTTTCGGGGAGTTATGGAATTAATCAATAATGGATTCTTTTCCAGCCCTCTAGTTACCTACCTTTATTCCTTTTAAACATGTTAGAATCTTGTAATTGAATGTGAGCAAGGTATGTAATTACTAATAAGTAGGTATCTAGTAACCATAACTTTACCTATTTTTTGATATTAATAATTATATTTCCTGTATCTATCTGTAAATTTTTTTTAATCAGTGCTTTGCTTAAAATATTGTGTCCTGTGCTGAAATTGTCGTTCTTGATAAATGTCACGCTGCTTTTGGGGTACTTTTATTGCTTTGAAACGGCATCAGTCCAAAGCATCAATTATTCTTAAACAATTAATTATTGTTACTAATGGTACCAACTAGGAATCTAAGTTTACCTAATTTTTAAATTAGGCCATAACGAAGTTTACCTTCTGCGCAAATTCTATATTGTAAATATCGAGCATAACCTTTGAACACTGTCTGTTTTTTTTTTAGATCTCGTAAACGAATTATTCTATATTTTTTTATTTTTGTACATATAGATGAATATAAATGGGTTAGACGACCATCTATCCCTTGATAACATTACTTTTGATGAGTTTATACGAAAGGATCCTAGTGAAGTGAGCCTGGCCAAACTAACAGTCAAATTTTATACAACTGATGCAAAGGTTTTTACCCAATCCATTCCAGGCTCCTATTCCATCGAACGCATCAAGAAGGACTTGGCTAAACTATTCAGCTGTCCCACAAGTGCTATAGACTTATTGCTTCGGGAACAACATCTTCCAGATGAGGTAAAAAAAAAACACAATACTATCACCGGGTCCACTAGAAGTCACTTCTACAACACTCTTATTTTAAGTGACTATAACAACCAAGATCTTGTTTAAGCTGACTCTAAACTTACCACTATATTTTAGTCGACATCGTACTCAGGATTTACCTTGAAAAACTCGGCGCCCTACTCGGGTAGAATTTCCCGAATAGACGTACTAGACATAAACAACTCGATTCTTAGAATCTCTGCTCTGCAAGCAATTTCATAACAATTCTAAATTTTACCAACACGTTTCAATTATCAATCTATTGTAGACAATACTGGGACGGTGCGAGCCAGATAAATTTGGTATTTTGGAGATCAAGCTTGTAAGTAAAGACAAACATTTTAAAATCCCTATTGAAAATGCCTACAAGCACCTCACAGTCCCAGACATATTAACTGTAAAAGTAGAAAAAGACGGAGAAGAAATTCGGGATGTAGTGGTTGAAATAGAAAATCGGGCCATTGAGAAGCCCTATCTAGGTATAATTTTAAATTGAAATTTAACTACCTATTGATTTTTTTTGATGTTTTCCATTGTTAGGCGGTTACAGACATCCAGTCTCAGGCGTTCAATATCATCATGGGTATAGTCAAACAGGCCCATTATCACCTGAATTACCAGCTGAAATGAAAAACCACAGGGATACTCAAACTTATTTCATGAGAAACAGAAAAGTCAACAAAAATTGTTCAAAATTCACTCAGGCAAGTAGATTAGTTATGGTAATTTTAATTGAGTTTTGTATAACTATTTTGACAGGTTCCTACTAGGAAACTAAATGTGTCTGACAAATTGCTGACTCCTGGCCCATATGAAACAGCTGAAAAGCGAGAAATAAGACTTGAAGGAAAAGTAAAAATAATTCAGAGATATTTTAGGTAGGTAGTTGTTTTACTATGTATGTGAATAAATTTTAATTTACATGACTCTAGAGCATGGCAAATAAAAATGCGTATGAAAGCGCTCCGATTAGAATCTCAAAGGCAAATTGATTTTGAAGCGGAATGTGATGAAGTGGAATTACAACAAATGGAAGCGATAAGAAAGAAAGACATTATCACTAAAGTTTTTCCTGTGAAAGGTGAAGATTTTTCAATGTTATTTAATATGGTAAGTTTTTATATTTTGTCATAGAGTGGTACTTTAGAATGTGGAACTACTTTTGCCTCATCCAATCTACATTGTAAATTGGCAAACTCGTTACAGAGAGTATTTTAACATATTCAACTGTCTTGACCAAGTGAAAGTGATTTTTAAACTAGATTTGTAGGTATTTGTTTTTCTTTATAATAGTAGTTCGAATGGTTTCACGGATGGTGCTGTATGTTTGCTTGTTGTTATTTCGGTTGTTCATCCGTTGGTTTTCCACCGAGCGTTGAGAAACACTTGGTTTCTGATGACGTTTCGCCAAAATTGCATTGGACATTTTCAAGTCTTCTTCCTCGTCGGTTAGTGTCTGGAATCCGACTTTCTTTAAACTTTCTACATTATAATTTGTGCATTATAAAAAGGCTCCTGTTGATATGACTTCGAAACATAAATATTAACCATAGGTTCTGGAAGATTCGAAATAATATAGGTACCTACCAAGCCTGTTCTTTTACGCCAATGGATTAAGTGGTTTAAGTAAAGGCAATAATAGCTAGCTTCATATTTTCCCAATACCTCAATGTTCTAAGCTTTAAAAAAGAATACAGATATCACGTCAAAAAATAAATATAATACATACCACTGAGACACAAGACTACTCGAAACCCCAGTCAGATATGCCTCAAAATTGTTTCAATTTTCAAAAAACTATAAATAGTATATTACATACCGAGTAGGGAAGTGTTTCATTACTGTCGAGAGAAATGAAAACTTTCCTCCGAGGTTTGTATACTATTTTATTTGCAAGCACACCATCAATTATGATTAGTCATTCAATTTTTTTAATATTAAAAAAATAAAAAAAACATGCCAAAATGTGTCATTCACTACTTTGACGTTTTTACCTGACATGTTCTCATTATTGCCAGCAAAGGTAAATAAATTAGAGTGAGGGAAATTGGTGAGGGAAGTCGAATAGGGAAATCGGTGAGGGAAATCGAAGAGGGAAGTGACACAAGTAAAGTGTCACTTCCAAATTTTTAAAAAGTCAGTAATGACAAGATTACATATATGATTGCAAATAAATTATATTTGTTTATTGTGAAATAATTATTATCTTTCAGGTAGACCGCTGGAAAAAAGCAGAACTCGAGAGAATCAGTGAAGTTTCATGTGGCGCAGCAAGAATGGCAGAGTCCTATTTGCTATTGGAAAAAGAAATCGAAATCATTCGATCGATAGAATGTCTCAAAAGAAATGTCAAAAAGTCTCTAGAACTGAAAAAAGTAATGGACTTTTTCAAAGAAATCGGCAGTCCAATTGAATGGAACAGCGAGTACAAGGATATTCACATTAGCATGGACACTTTAGAAGCCCAAAAGGGCAGGGAATATCATGAGTTATACAAGGATTTGTGTAAAAAGTCGTTATCGAAAAATGAATGTTTTAAAATATATTCGAGAATTAAAGAGTATATTAAGACACACGAGTGTGGAAAAGATGGCAAAGAAATAATTTCGTTGATTGATAGAATGTGTGAATTAACCGCAACGGGCCTGTCTGACAATTTTTTAGGGGGTAATTAAGATGTACCTTATTTAATGCCATGCTTATCATTCTCGTCTGTATTTCATAGCGTTGAAAAAACGAATTGAAGCCTTAGTTCTACACCATTTCCAACTCCAAGAGCGCAACAAACATCTAACCGAACACATGAGAAAAGTATCAACGAAACACGCGAGCAGTAATTTAGTTTATTGCCATAGCTGTGAAAAACTAAAACCAATAGAGAGTTTTACTATTCACGCGAGGTAATTTTTTGTTTGAATAATTATTTTAATAAGCATAATTGTTTTTTATAGGTTGCAAACCCTGAAAATTTGCACCATCTGCAAAAGGTTAAATAAAGTTGAGCAACCATGGATCGATCTGGCCCCACACAAATTTATACTGACACAAATCAGAAATTATGAGCGTTCGCATAATGGAACATCATCCATTGTATTTATATTGAAAGACAGAGATATACATCTGATTGTGAATATCTGGCATGGTCATTCAGCTATATCAGAATGCAACGACATTTACCAATTACGTTTAATAAGGTTAGTGCTGTTGTTGTAGCCATAAATAAATTATTTTTTCTCTTTTATTTTAGATGGAAAAAACATGAAGAATGGGCCCCATGGAACTGTATCCTCTTGACTACAGAAGAAGCTAAAGCCCATTTAGGAATAACAGACTTGGAGACAGTTTATGACCAACACTTTATCAACCATATTTTCTATAAACATGCATTAGCTAGAATACACTTTAAACACTTGACAATTTACGATAATTATTATGCAAAATATAAAAAAGGACATTGTCCCCCCTGTGAGGCAAGACTAAAATGTATGTCATGCTTAGAACGTGACTGTAGAAGATGTTCTAGGGCTGCCTCATTTGTTTCTGAAGAAGAAAGCGAAGATATGTCTCAAATAACTGAAACGAATGCAACAGCAGGTAGAACGACTGAAACGCCTACAACTGCTGAAAGTAGTGAATGTTCACTAAAAGTTATTCACAAGAATAAGAACGCTAGACAACAAAGTGATGATAATTATAATTTTATACAAGACTTATAAAAATAAAAAAATGAAAAAAAAATATATATATATATATATGAATGCCTGTAAAAGTTCAGATTAAAATGATAAATAATTAAAGTACGTAGGTAGTTACCCGTTTTGTTACACTATTTCACTAAGAACAAATGATAAAGAATGAAAGTCGGAACTAATAGTAATCGGGAACCCTCTCAAGCAAGTGTCCCTTTTCTTTCTAGGAGCCGGTCCTAATGAATTAATTACAACCAGGAAGCACCACGAGTTTCCTTAACCTGAAGATGAACCCATAAATCAGAAAGGTATTGAAAGCATGGCTAAAGCAAGCTAAAGTAAAGTGGAGTTCAAGTGACAGATTCATAGTTTTTGGCATCTTCTGATAGATGAGGCCCCACATTTTCACGGCATCCGTTGGCCACAACGTATCGAAATCACGCAAATTCATGGGGCCAAGAAGTATCTAAACCATCAAGTAGAGAGGACAGCAGATAGTCTAGAGTCGATTAGTAAGAAATAAAACTCGGGAAACCATTTAGAATGCTACAGAACACTTTTGAACTTCAAAAATCCTTTTGGAAAGTTCGAAGCACTTAAAATTCAATTCAGAATTTCCAAAAGCATTCTGTAGCGCTTCAGAACATTTTGGAAATTTCGGATTTACAATTTCAAAAAGCATTTTAGAACAATTCCGAAGTTTGAAACCCATTTTAGGACGCTCCAAAACACTCAAACACAAACTCTAGAAACATTTTGAAAAGCGCCAGAATCTTTTAGAACTCTTTTGAATCAATTTGGAACACAAAATCTGTCAGAACAATTTAGAAATTACTGAAATACTTCTAGAATGTTCCAGAAATCTTCAAGCCAAGTTAGAAGATTTTAGAATTTCAATATGCCATTTAGAACGTTCCAACAGTCCAACACACTTTTTAGCAGCATTTTGAAGGCTTCAGAACAATTTAAACACTTCAGAATTATTTCAGAGAGCCTATCGCCTGGAATAGACAAAAATTGAAAGTTATTAAATGTGTAATAATAAAGAAATATTAGCAAGAAAATGATTCTGTTTCAATTCGAATTTTTGAATTTTTTAAATTTTTCCTGTTCCAGGCTCTTGATTTTTCCTTATTTCTTCATTCTTCATTCTAATTTTTTTTTTATATTTTTACTCCTGGCTCTTCTAATGTTTTTCTTCCATAATGAATTTTGTGCATGTTTTCGTTTTAAAGAAATCAAGAATTTAAGAGCCTAACGTTCGGAACAGACAAAAATTGAAAGGTATAAAATGATGAGTAATAATAATGAAATATTAGTCCTGAAGACGTCTTTAGGCAAACGTCTGAAAGACGCTGGGTTTTGTAACATACGACGTCTTTGAGATGTATTCACGACGCCTTGAAGACGTAAGCAGTCATCTGAAAGACGTCTTTAATGCCGTTGTGGACATCTTAGGGACGTCTTCAAGATGCCTTTGTGCTATCTGGTATTGAAGTAGGGCTCTTATAAAGATTTATTTATGTTTCCAAATTATTAGAATATTACGTATTAGAAGGATGAACAAGTAAATTTTTTATTGAATATTATGGCTCAGTCTTAACTCAGTAAGAATCATCTATATATAAAATTGAAAACATAGATTCAAATAAAGGTTTAAGGTAATAAGGTTAATAAATTTCAGGAGGACTAGGACTAATTAGGAAAGATAGGCTTGATTTACTTTGCTGATAGAAAAAGTGGCTGTAAAATTCCAAAAATTGGAATTTTCATCAATAAAACCTCTCGCTATTTACCATCTAACTATTTCATAGAGTACTTGGGTAGTCTGCTACAATAATATAGCAGAACAACATTAATAAAAAGTATGTAGTTTTTTGCATTTTTATTGCACTTGATGAGTTTATCTTTCTAGCCCAAGAAATTTATGGGTGTTTCAAAAAAATTTGCGAGGGCAGGCTGATTTTTCCAGGGCTGATTGGGGACTGTGTCCTGAGTATTGAGCCAAAAAATCACACTCGAAAGCCTTGTGCGTTCGGCCCTATTGGCTTTTTTCTTATTTATTTTTTTTCGACAAAGTGACCTTAACAAAACTTGTAGATAATAACATTCTGATCAACTTTGCCTCGTACCTTTTTTTGCTAGCTATTTTAGTTTAGGCGTTGCGGCTATTTTAGTGTTCCAGAATTCGCAAAAAAATTAAATAGCAAACCTGCAGATTATTGTAACTTTAATAAAATTACTGGTAATGTACTCCATTACGTTTTCGGTTTCAGTCCAAGAAATGATACATTACATCACTAATCCGGTGAAATTATTTTCCCGGAGTGAAAGCGTGAAATCGAAATGATGTTTTTTTTGACAATACTGGGACCTGTTACCTGTTTGAAAAGTGACAAAATGTTTTTTTTTTTCTACAATCGGCCTAGAAAGTAGACTTTGTCGATTAGATTTGTGCTCGCAAAGTAGACGTTTCCTGATGACCTTCACTTTGCCGCTTTAGAGCGTCAAACTACGTCAAAATGCATCACTTTGTCGCTCTAGAGCGGCAAAGTAGTAAAAGCGCTTGCTTTTACTACTGGTTTCTTTGAACCTGAACTTTTTTTTATCAAATGCGATTGTAAAAAAAATCAAGTGTGCATTTGCCAATATCAACAATATCTTTCGATCGGCAAAGTACCACTTTGCGCTCTTAATAATACACAAATAGCTATTGTGCAACCGTTCGCGAAATTCAATTTCGCGAAACGCCACATTTTACCTGCAAAATGTGTCAAATCCTTGCCACAATGTCCACCAGGTCAAATAAAATTTTTCAAATGCCTAAAAGGCCGTACAAGCGAAAGAAATAAAGTTACAATAAAATATCATCAAGCAAAGTAATAGAGAATTTTATTAGGTATAATAATCAGCAGGTTTGCTATTTAATTCTTTTGCGAATTCTGAAGCCCTAAAATGGCCACAGTGCCTAAAGTAAAATAGCTAGCAAAAAAAGTTATGAGGCAAAGTTGATCAGAATGTAATTATCTACAAGTTTTGTAAAAGTCATTTTGTCGAAAAAAAATAAATAAGAAAACGGCCAATAGGGCCGAACGCACAAGCGCACAAGGCTTTCGAGTGTGATTTTACTCAGGACACACTCCCCAATCAGCCCTGGAAAAATCAGCCTGCCCTCGCAAAATTTTTTGCGGCCCAGGTATAAAATTCTTGGGCTATTCCAATACTTTTCGTTCTATTGAATTTAGAGACAAGATAACCTTCCAAAACGATGTATTTATGTTAATTTCCTTTATAGTCTAAGATCCGAATAGGAAAGGATTTGCACCCATCTGTTTATTGGATAAAAATTATTTTATATCAAAGTTAGTATGTTAAAAAAAATATCAGGTGTGGGTTGGCTAAAAAATTCCTGGCCAGACTATTATTAATAAATAATTCAAAAATTATAATTGTTAAAGGCATTGCACTCATTTGTTTAACGAACAAATTCCATACTAACGGCTGGAAATATGCGACAGAGTGGTGTATGATTTATACATTAAACAGATGGGTGTGAATTACTAGTATCGACTCACCTGTTCAACCTGTCAACCCAATAGTTATGCCAGGAAAAAAATAGACACCCCAACGTTTCTATATTCTTTAGGCCCTATACTTTCGATTAGTATGAAATTTGTTCGTTAAACAAATGAGTGCAATGCCTTTGACAATTATAATTTTTGAATTATTTATTTACTAGCTGACCCGGCGAACTGCGTAGCGCCTCTGAATTAATAAATACCTATTAAATGTTGTATTAACGGCATCTATTAGCTGAATTAAATTCAGTTTTTTTTCCGATGGTGAATTTGGCTTTGGTTGAAGAATATTAATGTTTACTCTCCATCAGAAGTCACCTAAAATTAAAATTTAACATCATCCCTTTCAAGGCAGCTTGTGGGCATTTTTCTTGTGAAGTGTACCACCAAATAAATAAACTCAGGCACAGGAATGTCCAAAGAATGTAAAGAAAACAAAAAAAAATCTACAGCGCAGCCCTGTATCACTCTATCTGCGCTGCACTACTCCATCTGTTCTACTCTATCTGCACTATTCTATCTGATCTACTATTTCTGCATCACTCTATGTGATCAGAATAGTGGAATAGTTCTGTTCTAAATATCTCCAGTTCCTGAGCAGCATGGTTCTACTGCATCTGCAATGAAATTACCGCGCATCGGTGAGCTTCGTTCTAGGTATCATATATGGCGCCGTATACAAAATGGTTGTGGCGGACTCATAACCTGGCTCTCTGCTACTCGACACCAGCCGGACAGAGCACTCCGAACAGTCGGCACGGAACACGGCTGTCAAGGGATGCCTGAGAGGAGAAACGGAACTTAGCCACAGAACGTCAATGGTCAAGCGTCAAGAAATGACAGGGAGACCAGTTCGCGCTCTTTCGGAATGAACGAACCAACAACAAAATAAAATACACAATTAAAACATTGTCATTCTATTTATTTTTGGACATTTTTACTGTGAAGAACAATTAAAAATAAAGTGCTTTCCTCAAATTGTTTTTGTGCAAAGTGTGTGACAATAAAATCCACATGGTTTGCAATGAAAATGTGACGGTAAACTTGGTATCGGTTATAAGAGATGGCGCCGTATGCGGGCTTAGTGAGTTTTTTTCATAAATAAGTAAAATAGATAAAAAAAATTTTTTTTTGGATTTTTTCGATTTATTATGTTAGGATGGACCACGGATGGACAAATACAAATCGAATAAAGCAAAAATCATAAAAATCAGTCCAGCCGTTCTCGAGTTATAAGCGCTTCCACACCAACACAACTGTGTTTTATATATATAGATAATAGTCTGGCCAGGAATTTTTTAGCCAACCCACACCTGATATATTTTTTAACATACTAACTTTGATATAAAATAATTTTCACCCAATAAACAGATGGGTGCAGATCCTTTCCTATTCGGATCTTCTACTATTATGAATAGCATCAAATAGGTATTGACATAAAAAAAATGTAAACTTCAAGACAGCCTGAGATATTATTTCTCTGGTTTGCGGAGATGTAAGTCCAAACATTGAATCCGGAACAACAAGTTTGGACTTGGAACTTGTACCCAGTTTTACTCGAATTTTTGAATATTTAGTATAATTACTTTTGTTCGATATTTTTCTCCTCTAAAAAATTAGGAAACAATTATCATCGATATTATCACTCCTAAATAACTCACTGTAGGTAGGTAAGCCGTAAAAAAAAAATAGTGCAACCTGGATGCAGTTTGGTACTAACTTTGTTCGTAACTCTTTTGGTTATGATGTAATGACAATTAAAATGATCCTATTATAATACAAGAGTGACGATGGGCTTTATTTTATTTATAGCAGACTTTTATCAATCTTATCAAAATTTAAGCACCCGGCTATAAGTAGTTTGCTGTCTGTTATTTTTATCTCTTGAGAATTATCCATTGGCGTTACAATTGAATGGAATAGGTATTTCAAACTAGGAAAAAAAATTATGTCATAATTTTTTTCTTCAAAATATTAGTTAATAAGATGATACCTACTTGGGTGAAAATTTGAAACAAGCAGTTTAGGCTATAACTTAAAAATCAAGAACATGTTCAGGTTTAGGGCAAAAATTTGTTTACTATAATCGATAATATTTTTTTTTAGGTAAATCTACAACTTACTTGAACATGATGATAAAATTAGATGTGAAGAAGTTGATGGTCATTAGGGGAGGTGGACCTTGGGACTTTCAGGGTCCTTCTTCTTGAAATAGGGGAGCAGCGTTCCCACGAAAACGAGTGTTTTGTCTTTCTCAATGATATGGAAATGATAATATAAGTAACAAAGACAGAACACTCGTTCTCCTGGAAACGCTGCTCCCATGTTTCAAGAATTAGGACTCAGGAGTCTTTCTGTAATTAATCGGTCTTAATTTAAATGGATATCAAAGTTAGAATTCTAGCGAATGGAAGTCCAAAGTTTCTTATACATCGAAACATCACCTACTGCTTTTGAACAAACGCCCCTTTATTATTTGAATGAGAACTCCTTTTTCCTTGCAAATTTTATTAGATAGCCAGTTGCAGAATTAGATCCTATTTTTAGCAGCGGAAAATGATTTGCAGAATAAAACCCAATCAGTATTCCTACTTACTTAGAACCTAACTACGTTTGATCAAAAACTAAATCATATTCTAGCCAAGATAAAGTAGAAATGTTGTAGAAATTCTACTCCACTGACTAAAACGATAAATAAATAAAACACGCGTGTTTTATTTTTTCCCTTTTGGAACTGATATGATTTTAATAAAGCAACTCATTCACCGATTCAAAACGAATGACACGAGAAGAAACAGTGAAATAATTAATTGAAAATGCAACTTGAGAATGCACCCATCCTATCAGACATGTTTCGCTTATAAGGTTTCTTACTTGCGACCCTATATTATAGTGGATGCGAAGTGTTTTAGGTGATATATCAAGTAGTTTTTTAGTTTCAAAAAAATGTCTGATCCAACTATTCAAACATTCTGTTGTCACCATGGTAACGGTACCGATGTAGCTGTGACTGTGATGCGCGAATTTGATACGGATTCCTATAATATGGTGTGTTTGTTTTCATCTGGATTAGGAATTTTGGGTGCTATTTATCAAGTAAGTCAACAATTATCCATCCAAATTAGACAGATTTTTGAAACAAATACATCCAGAGTAAAGAAACATAAATTATCTTTATTTTTCTGAATTGTTTTATTAAATTTAACAAAGTATGTATTTGTATATCTACAACTATGCCCAAAAATAACCGCAAAAATAAACATAATATTTTTCAATATATCTCGAAAACAAAGCCAAAGTTCGTTTACTTTTTGTTTGGAATTCGGGCAAAACAAAACAAAAAGAGTCAGTTACTTGAAATTATCAACACTAAGCAATTAATTATTCCTTCTTCATCAGTCTTCCGAAACGGCGATGATAGGTAATTTAAGAATTTAAATTTGACCATCCAGTAGGAGGAAAATCAAGTTCCAATACGCACGATACTACGGCCATGACTTAGCCAGTTTATCTCAAATAGGTCAAGCAGCCCCTTGGAAAAAAAGTAGTCCCGATGATTTGATTCCTCAAATATGTGTTTTTGTTGCGATGAATCTATCATCATAGCAAGTAGAAGCAACATGCTTGTCAGGAATGTCATAATGCAAAATTTAAATTGTGAAATTTTGGTACTTTCGTTGCCATCAGTTTTGCAGTCTTGTATGTAAATAGAAAGTTTCATCCTCTTAGGGTTTCAAATAAAAGAGATAGGCCCTAAGCCCGCATTTCGAAATAATCGATCAACCCCTGTATATACGATGACTTGAATTCTTGACAATGGAATTTAACTTTGATGATTAAACTTTATCACTCTTAAATAATCAAATAACTGTCCGGTTATTGACTGATCCGCCCTAGTGATGAGCAAATGTAAGACCAAGACCAATACAGGGTCCAGTCTTGATCTTGGTCTTACACCAAGACACTTGCAGGTCTTGCAGTTTTTTGGTAGATTTTTACTGCAATTTTATACAAAGGAAATTTCAAAAAAAAAGTTTTTCATGTCATTTGGAGTGAATAAAATTTCAAAGAAAGGGACGGCATTTGCGAGTTAAGGGATTTAAGGTTGTCTGTGTGTAATATTGAATCATCCTGTGTTTTTACACTTAATTGCGGCATTAACGCAAGAACTTTTTTATTTAAATATGCATTTCATTTCATTTTTCCAAGCCCATAATTAAGTTGAAATATAAGCACATACATATCTATCTATTTTCTTGATAATTTGATACCTTTACCTACAGGTATTTTTTTTCATTTTGACAATTTTTTTACAATATTTTTCTATAATTTCATAAGTTTAAAAATATATATCTATATGTCAAAGCCAATGGGGGCCCTTTATTACCTAAGCTGAAACTAGAAATGAACCAAAATTATTATTGCTCAATGAGAAACTGCACACACACTTTATTTCTTAGCAAACTACAACAATTTTACCTCTTCACGTACGGTAAAGTGTACCTTTCCACACTCATTTGCGTGCGTTAGGTAGTACTTTCCCGTATACTATGCGGAATATAGGTACTATACGGAGAATACAATAATTAAAAGCAAAAATAATGCAAAGTATAGTAGTTTTGGTTATGGATCCTTAATAAATATTACTATTGCAGGTGCTACCAAGGGAACAATTTACCAACAGTCATAGATGGTCATCGTTTTCTGCAGAAAGAGGAAGAAGAATTATAGTGTGGCTCGCTGTAGCTGATTTGTTAGCAGCTGTAGGTAAATAGCAACTTGATTTTACCCATCTATTATTACTATTTTTCAACGACTCAGTGGAAGAATTTGTATGTTTTTATAATATTTACTATTACCTACCACTTTTTAACTAAAACATAGGCTCGCTAAAAATATCAAAATGCTTGGACATATTTAAATGAAATCTACTGTCAGACGTAGGCGTAGGCTCGATATTTTAAATGGCGTCAACTATATATTTTACTTTAATTTTAAGCGCATTGTGAGTCAGTGGGTACATTCAGGCGGTCCCAGCGGCTAAGCTCAGCCACTCAGCAGGGACTTTATTCTCGAAACCAAGAAACAGCGTTCTCATAAGAACGATTGCTCTGTCATTGTCAGTGTTATGCAGGACGACAAAGACAGAAACTTCGTTCCAATGAGAGCGCTGCTCCCCTGTTTCGAGAATGAAGTTCCTGCTGAGTAGCTGAACTAAGCCGCTGGGACCGCCTGAATGTACCCAGTGCAAGCGACCTTGACGGGCACAAGCTGGTATCAAAATATAAAACAAACCGTTCAATATAATATAACAACCCAGCGAGAAGTATGTATAGGCTGATCTAATAAATGTCACCCCTTTTCAACTTTTTCATGTAACGTTTTTGACAAAAGTGTCAAATACAACAGTTTTAAGGAATTGTCAAAAGTTTTTAATAAATCAATTTCAAGCATACAGGGTGCGTCAGAAAAGTGTAGCAGTGCGAAGTTATATTCTTTTAAATGGAACACCATGTATATCGTGCGCTTATTTGCTAGTTCTTTTCAACCTGATTTTAACGATATACGGTTTGATATATCTATCTTCAATAGTTATGGGGGAAAACATGAAAACCTTTTTCAAGGTCTCATGTGGAAAAAAAGAAAAAATATATCATTAATTTAAGCTTTAAAGAGAATTGTTTATAAACAGTTTATTATTCGAATGTTATTCATTAATTTACGAGGTGAAATATAATCCAGGTGTCTTCCCACATAACAAAATTGCATCCTTAGAATGTACTGAGACTGAGAATGTTCTTTTTTTAAGAGGAATATGCTTAGAATATTCGCCAAAACCATTGCGATTGTCCTGAGAATGTTCTGAGAAAAGATTGTAGAAATACTGTTTGCAATACCCAAGAACTTCCTGGGAAATCCATTAGGATATTCCTAGAATATACTTATGAGATTCTCAGTACATCCTGAAAAGAATATTCCTGTTTGATTCTAAAAATATGCTTGAAATGTATATTTATTTTCACATTCAAAGAATGTTTCTATGACATTATAGTTATGTTCTCAAAAGAATATTATACCAATATGCTTGAAATATTCTTAGAATATATCTACATATATCATTCTCAATAGGCATCCTTGACATAACATTCTTGTTTGATTCTAGGAACATACTTGGAATGTTAATTTTCGCATCCAACCAAATAATGCTCTTTCCAGTCCTTTTATATTAAAGGCAGTGAAAGATTTGTTGGAAAATTTCTCTGGAAAACACAAGTGTTTAACCAAAGCTCCAGTTTCAAGCTTATTATGCTCTCGTCGCGGTAAGCACGCCGACTGAGAAAAACAGGTTCCAAGGTGATTCAAACGCGAGGCAAGATGTAGATCATTAATAGCGCGTGGCTCCCTCTCTTGGAAGTCCTATAAAGCAAAAGAAAAAGAATATACCTATAACATTTTTAGTAGGTTCTAGATAGAGCATTATTGTTTAATTGTTCAATTAAGATTTTTGAGTAGGTATTTTAGATAATTAAGTGAACAATATGGAAATATTCTTATCATGGGTATCTACCTACATAAACTTTTCAGCACAACTTGGTAGGTATATTCTTGATACCTGATAGAGATATTAGCCGAAAGAACATTATTTAGGGTACATTATAATAATGCTCGTATGACAATATTCAGATAATGTTATATAAAGTAGGTTCTTAGCACAATCTTTCAGGTAAATGCATAGAAGCAACATTCCTAGTACATAAATAGAACGTCCAAAAATGAATATTTCAATCGAAACAATCTTAGAATATTCATTAAACATTCCTAAAAGAACATTTCAAAAAGCACTTTGAGGGAATATTCTGAGAATATGAATGTTCTTTCACTGTTATGTGGGTTAAGTTATTAAAATATTATTTAAAAAAGAAAATAACATGAGACCTAGGGAGGTATTTTCGCGTTTTCCCTATAACTATTGAAAATAAAGCTCCAATGTAAGAAAATGGACTATTTTTTCAATTTCTTAAAACATTTGTATTTGACGCTTCTGTCAAAAACGTCAAATGAAAAAGTTAGGAGGGGGTGACATTTAAAATAGATCACCCTGTATTAGGGTACATTTTAGTTGGAACCAAAAAAAACCCAATCCACAAATGTCCCAAACGTTAATTACACAGCATCTCTCGGAGTTCAGCTAAGTATTTTAAATTTCCAGGAGTATTTGCCCGATCAATGATATGGATCAACAAGAAAAACATCATGCCAGCATTCGACGACGATGCCAGCGTCTTATTTTGCGCAATATCTTCCGTAAAGCTTGACTTATTATAAATATATTAAATATACTAATTTTTTTTTTCTAGGCCCTCACTCAATATTTTTATACATCGACATGGATCTGGACCTTATGCTATGCCATAGATATGAGATTTGTACTGAAGCAAGCTGAAAGTTGTCACAAACATTATCATTGTTTCGCTTGGACAATACCGGCAATTTTAACAACCATCGGCTTGTCACTCTTGTATTATCCAAATGCGAAGTAAGGATCTATCAAAGTCCCAAAAAAAAATTGACTCAGCTCTAGTTTTTAGTTCCACTTGGAGGACCTTGCACTGCAAAACTGGTTGTACTTATATCGGAGAATATGGCGTGTTCTAATTTACCTAAATGTGACGTAGCTTTACCTTTTCAACTCAATTAGTCAATTTTCTCGGTCTGAAGCACGACATCGAGCAAGGACTGATTTATGAACTACCTTAACCTTCAAACGAACTCTGTAAGTCTGGGATAGCCCAGTGCCCAGTTATATAGAGTATTTACTAAATAATTAGATGATAATTGAGTTTCCAGCTCTGAGACTTTAACGCACAGCCTCGAGAATGCAGACGTAAATGCAGGTCAAAACTAAGGTGGGTTATAAAAAAAAATCGCCACTGATCCTGTTTTCAATATGGTACGGCGGCTGTGATCGCTTTATCCTAATCGCTATTACTATTATGGTCTTCTCTTTATCCAAATGGGCTTAGAAGATCAATGCCTATCTTGTCGAACATCTTTCTCACCTGAACACACAACCCTGCGATTTTCCCATATGGTCGCCCTTATATCTTGCTTGGCAATCTAGGCAGCCCTTTTAACATATTTTACCGCATGTTGGTGAAGCATGAAGTTCCTACAGGATTTCTTTTCCCATCGATTTGGTACTACTAGCAGTTTTTCCAGGCCTCTCGTGTCTTATCCGTTTTCACAGTAGATCATTCTCGATTCTAAAAATTTTCATTCTTCTTCGAACGCCCATATTAATTTCTGGATCATCTAGAGGCGTGTCTGAGTTGTATTTCATCTGGCTCCGCTTTCTGTAACTTATTTCTATTGTTCTGAGAACAAAAGTTGGAAATTCTTCCGGCTCCTCATCGTTTTCCTGTATAAATGTATTTCTGAGCGCATTGTAGCTTTAAGATTATTTACTATTTCTGACAACTTTGCTGTGCAAGGGTCTACGAGTGGCTCGTTATCAATAACCTATCCGGCTACATAGGTATTAACCACTTATAAATGTAGCCATTATAAAGATTCTTTTTACTTTTTTCTAGTTGCCATACGTCATCCTCTTGGTGCAAAGCCTTAGTAAGGATTCTTCCCAACTACATTGTTACATACGTCCCAATGTTAGTTGTTATGATAGCAAATCCGATCCTCTACAGATATTCGATAAAGGACATGAAAAATATCATAACTTGTTCCTCGGGACAATTTACTAGTAGAGAAAGGGATATTTTAGAAGCAATTAAAATTAAATTTTCTGTGATAAATATGGTGTTCTACATTTGTTGGGTTCCTAATTTGATTAATGGTGTGATGTTATGGTCGCAATGGTTCCATTTACCGGAAGAGTACATGATAGCTGTTTGGTATGTTATGGTAAGCCCAATTGAAAATAATTTAAGCAAAAATCGAATTTCAATATCATTGTACCTATAGGCTTTTACAAATCCTCTGCAAGCATTCTTCAATGCACTTGTGTACAGAAGATGGAGTGTGGGATCAGAAAAAGTCGTTTTACCTTGGAGGCATTATGAGATTTCTGATTATCATGTAACGAGGTCCACTGGCAGTGAAACTTCTGGAGAATCTAGGAATACTTTTAGGGAGGAAATATATCCATTGTTACATAGTTCGCCTTCTAGAAGTGTAAATGGGTACAAAACTTTGGCATAAATTTTTTTTTATAGAAAATGAGTGAATACTTTTTCTGATTTGAAATTAGGACTTTCTGTAATAAGTTATAGGTACCTAGAAGAAAAGCGTCTGATTGCACGAAATAACATACCTTTTTGCATGGTAAACGTAGTTTTTAGCTATTTATTTAGGATTTTATTGTACTTTTTGTATTTTTGTTTAAATAAGGGTATTTTATGTAAAATGTAAAATGCCTAATGTTTTATTATTATACGTACCTATTTTTTTAGCCTATATTCTTTTTTTTGTTCCCACAACGATAGCAGTCCTGGTACTGCAAATAAATTTCCTCGATCCTTTAATTATTCCATCTTGGTGCATCTTTTTGGATAGTCTTCACTGGATCCAGATTTACCTATAATGAGAACTTTTCTTCCACATCAAAAAATATGGCTGATCACTAGATGTAGAAGGGTATAATATAAATTTAGCCGGAGTGGATGTTTTTTTCTGGTTTGACTTGGGCTTTTGTTGTTCTCCATACTTAAATGCTTCACATGCATATAATACCAACGTAATCTTCCACTTTGAGTCTGAACTGGATCAACGTGGGCAAAATTGAGTTTCAAGTGATTTTAGCTAATGAAGAGGCCATAACTAAGCACTGATTGGATCTCTTTTGTACCTTGTGCGCAAGAAATTGTTTACCTTCGAAAATCTGGATCATTGGCCATCATTGGCGCTACAAATTTTTTGTTGTATTCATCTCTTACTAATAGCAAATTCTTCTTTGAATGTGCATACAGGCTAGTTTCAAGTATTCTAGTCCCAGTGTCCGATTCCCTTTACCCGTTTTAGGTATTCTGGCTTCTGCTCTCTTGATTTATTTTTCCCTAATTGGGATTGGAACATCGTGGCCAAGTCATTTTCCATGAAACTCCATGTGGGATGAAGCAGCACAACTGTACCAAGTCAGCACGTAGACGTTCTTAATTACTGCACTTATAGCTCGAGGTTTGTTATCTGTAGAACGGTGTTCTCTACATTGATGGCAAAACATCTGTTTGGGTCGAACGACAGGCACTCTCCTCAGGTCAGATTATCGAACGTTTGCTAACTTTCGACACATATAAATCTTACCATGTTGTAGAACCAAAGACATCATCCGCAGACTATCTGCAATCAGAGAATCCAACTGATACTATATGGAAACTGGAATTTTTGGCCATTTTGTTCATTTCGACTACAACTAGATAGATACCACATCAGTTTATCTTCAAAAATCAAAAAAGGCCATACACCTAGCTTAGAGCAGTTCGAGGTTGAAATTTATAAGATAGGCGTTTTTTGAAGTAATAATCTCTGAGTTTAACATTTTTCCAATATTATTCATGTCTGAAAGTGGCTATACAGAAAAAAAATACACCAAATTTTTGAAATACATCAAATGCAAAGTAAACTTTTAGGTTTTTGAATAATAACACCAACAAAACTGTGACAAATTGTATATCGAGACTATAACAAATAATGGCGACATTTCAAGAAGCATTATTATTCGGTTTTATTACATTGGGGATATTTTCCTATAGCTCGATTTTTCAAAACTGTGTCCCCAAACATAGCATGCTGAAGACCGCTATTTGACATTAAAAACATCCAGGAAAATGGAATTTAAATACGCAGACTCTACTAGTAGGCTTGTGCGCATCTTAAAATAATTCTAAATTCATCATACTCCTAATGTATCCTAGAATTCCTAGAAAACCCATATTTTCAAGAATTTGCCATAATTTATTACTTTCCGCAGGTATAAATAGGGGTGCAAGCTCCCCGAAAGGTCATTATTAATTCATCGATCGCGCTATCAACATGTATTCTTTGCTTTCTTTTATCACTACTAGAATGCTTCCAGAAATGCCCATAGAAATATGGTGCATTATTTTAAGGCTGCTGGATTCCGAATCATTACTATCTGCTGTAAGGAGTTCGTCTTCCTTCAGTTCCATGGCTCGGGGAGATCCAATATTAAGGCAAAAGGTTAGAGCTGCAATCAAAGAAGAGAAAGAACACATTATTGCTCGGCTCAGGAGACCAGGAATAACCACAACGGTAGAAAGATCATCTAAACAATCCAAGTTATATTCCAAAAACTCCCAAAAGAAGACGACCATAAGGAAGGAACCAAAAATGTTTCAAGTTGGTAAAGGGAACGATGCCAAGAAGAAGACATCAGATTTGAAAATTAAAACCAAAGTTTGTAAATTATCTAGATTTAATCCTTATCGGATATAAAAGTTAGATATTTTCTTGACAATTATTAAATCAATAAAGTAAACTAATTTATTTAAAAACATGTAAGCACTTTATGCGACATTTCCAATAACTTGTTGCTGACCTTTTGCATGAATGACAAGCTTCTTTATTCAACATTAGGTAGGTAGGTAGGTACTTAGATACATTTGTTTTGTATAACTAATTTTATTTTTGATTGAAACTAAAATAAAATGAATAAAAAATTTATGTCTGAAAGTGGCTACAGAAACTAAATATAAACTGCATTTTTTCAAGCCAGTAGACTTTAACTCCAGTGCGTTCCTCTAGGTAAAAGGTATTTGTTCATTTTACTAATTTGCAAAAATAGAAAAATAATTAGTTTGATTGTTTAAATCACATGTATATGAATACATATTATTTTACTACCGAAAGATAGAATAAATAGGTATTTGATAGAGAAATTGTGCATATGTTTTTTTTGAAAGTTTATCTTCGTATTCTCTATTCTCATCTGGGAATACTCTCAGTAATTTCCCATTGCGATCGCGGGATTTCCTTGAAAATTCAGTTGACGGGAACCATTATTGATAACCTCCATATCAATATCAAAGTACAAACAAAAAGTTCAACACTTGAAAAATTCAACATAAAAACTCGCCAGACGATGACGTAATAAAAACAACTCCAATCAAATGAATAACCCGTGCTTCAACTCGAAAGCGCAAAGAACCTGAAATGCCGTTTGAATAGTAGGTATTGTTTAACGAGTGACGAAAACAACATTTTTTGCAACGAGAAAACCGTTTTCATGTTGAAGAAATGATTTTTGACGAGCTTATACTTTATCTATGACCATGTTTTGCTATGCTATACAGTTCGAGTAAAAGTTTTTCTACTTGTGATGAACTATGTTTCTTCATTAATCTTCATTGTGCTTCACAGAATTAAATTACAATTCATCATATTAGTTAGGTTAGAATCGCAAATTGGCGCGGGTTCCTAATTCAAAAATTAATACATTGATGTCTTATGGGAACTCAATTTTAAAAGCGTCTGTAGACGTGATAGAACGTTTGTTAGGGAAGTGAGTTGTATAAATAGTTTTGCTAATATGTTAATTAACTGAGAGAGTGTTTGAAAGTTGAATAAACATTGTTAAAATAAAAATATTACCAATTTAAGAAGCCGATGTTTGTATAAAATACGTATGTCGTTGCTTGATCCACAAGTATGTATGGGTACCCATAATTATAATAAAATAAAAGTGTAGGTACCTACATACTTGGTTAGTAGATGTACTTCAATAATCCAAAAAAATGGAAAAACAAATGACTGAACTAGTGATAAATAAATAAATAAACAATTCACCAACAATCATAACACAACACATAACCTCACTTTCTTACAGCTGGTTTTAGACCCGACGTACGTCCACCGAAAACAGACACTTTTAATTAAAATCATTTGTATTTTTAATTCATAGGTCTAAGAAAACAATTAGAGCATGAATTATAGAGAAATATGTTCAAAGTTTGACGTATAATAGGTTCAAATACTAAGAAATAAAGAAATGCCCAGAACCCAAGGGATTCCCGTCTGAAAATCACTCTTTTGAATCCCCCATAAGAAATACATTGCTGTCAAATTTGTTGCAATGTGTTTAGGAACCCATTTTAAATTTCGCGCCCGATTTTTCCTAACCTAACTAATATGGTGAATTGGATTTGAAAAAACGTATTTAGCATGTAATATTGTAATCATTTACTTTCTTCACTAGTGACGAAAGTTAAACGTTATGGGATATTAGAGACTTTTTGCACCCCTTAAAATAACAGCAGTTTTTGGATCAGTTATGGTAATCTTCATCGACGATAGCGATTACCACAACCTTCGAAATCAGAAATTTTGCAACGCCAAACGGTCACATTAGTATTTCAGCTATTCTATTTTGCCTCTGGGCCATGAACTGCGCCTGCGCATTCGGATATAAACTAATTTCATAACATTAAAATGATAATCCACACTCACTTTTTCAGATGATTTTAATTAATTATTCATTAAAACGGGATGACATCTATTAAATTTTTTTCAATGTGGCATACACGCAGTTTTACCATAACCATAGGTATATAGCTACAAGCACAAGGTTATTCCTCCTCAAATAAGGCCGCGCGTTGTGGTTGATAGGTACAACGAACATTTTTTTGCTACTGCGCATACTCAGTATAACGATAACCACAGCGGAATGGCAAAATAATGGCCATTTCCATCAACTATTTTAGGGAAGCCTTAACGATAAGTATTACCTAAACTGACATTTCGCCATGAAAAACTGTCAGCTTAGGGAATACTTATCGTTAAGGCTTCCCTAAAATAGTTGGTGGAAACGGCCATTAGAGGTGCAAAAAGTCTCTATTCTTTCACTAGTGACGAAAATGACGTTTTCGGCTAAGGTAACACGAAAGTTGTTTATTTTTTAATGGTCATACCGTGCATTCGGTATTATGATCTGAGTTCTCCGAGCTTGGCTGGTCATGTGATTACTGCTCCGCTCAGCACGCTCTGCTCTTTGAGCAAAATACCGAACGCATGGATAGAAAAAAAATTTAATGCTGACAATAGGCTACTTGCATGGAAATTTATAGGGAGTGAACTCTGCGCCTACCGGTAGGTCCCATTTGTTACATTGATTGTGTGCCTACCGTATGTATAACGCTCAAACATTATGGTAGGTCCTCAATTGCCACATGATATAACGCCTATCGGTAGGTACTGTTTGTAAAAAGAATCCTGAGCCTACCGGTAGGTTCATATTAATTCAAGAATCCGTCGCCTACCTATTGTACGCTATTATTGTGCATATTTGTGCATTTACGTTCGATGTGTGATATATTTGAAAAAAGTTTTCTACGTTTTTGGTGGATTTAAGCTTCCGAGAATCTTCTCTTTGAAGTTTGGCGAGCGGAGCGAGCAATCCAGAGGCTCAATAATATTTTAAATTTCAAGGGGTTATGCCTATTTAATAAAGGTTTTTCACGTTTTTGGTGGATTCACCGGCGAGCAGAGCGAGCAATCGCAGACTCAAAAATATTTTGAACAAGAAGGTGATATATTTGAAAAAGGTTTTTCTCGTTTTTGATGGATTTGCTCTACCGAGGATCCTCTATTCGAGGTTTGGCAAGCATAGCGAGCAATCGAAGACTCAAAAATGATTTCAAGGTGTATGCAGAAGGATTTTCAATAGGTTGCCGTCTAAAATGACGCAGATTTCAAACATCAACAAGTTTAAAGTCTAAATTAGAAAGATGTTAAGTACTAATAAAGGCTTATTACTCAGTGGATGCAGTTCCTAATGACAATTTTGTAAATAAACAAAATTGTATTAACGCCTTTAGCTAGCAAGAGCTGACTGGTAGGATATACGGATTCTAATGTAATAAAACACCTCCAGTAGGCGCTTGATCAATTTACGAAAAAGGACCTACCTACCAGTAGGCGCACAATCGGTGGATGAAAAAGGACCTACTGGTAGGCGTACGACCGTTGGAAAACAAAAGGACCTACCGGTAGGTGTAGGATTCACTCACAAATTTAAATTGATTATTGTTTATTGCAAACTGTAGGAAATCGAAAAAAAATCGATGCGTGTTTTTTTATTTTGTCCAAATATTATTATTTCGAAAGTTATACAAATATTGAGTTTTATATATAGATATACTGAGCATGTGCGACGTCACAACGTATTTATAAGTTATGACGTCAGAAGGACATTTCAAAGCGTTGTATCTCCGTCAATTTTTGACTAACAAGAAAAAGAAAAAACACGTGTTGACTTATTTTTCATGGACTATCGAAATCAGCAATAAAAAAATTTGACGCAAGGGGCCTATTGTGACAACTCTGTCAAAATTCCAGTTGTGACGTATTAAAAATAAAGTGCGTGATTCTATACTCCTGGACAAAATTATCGCACCACTGCACATAAGCACCACCATAAGCAGTGGTGCGATAATTTTGTCCAGGAGTATATTTAGAGAGTGTTTTTTCTTTTGGTTCGGATTTCGGATCACGAAATCAAAACGCATATATCTTGATTTCGTAATCACGTTTTTTCCCATTTTCAAAGTTGACAGCTTTGACAGATAATCACGATTACGAGTTGAGATGTTCGAACGAACATAAAAATTATATCGACTAGTTTCCCTGGAACAATCTGAGCAGTGTCAAATGGCAAATTTCAATGCTGCCATTTTCACGCCGATTCATCAAGACGCAATAAATAAATCTAACGATTCATGATTTCGAATTCGCCAAAAAAAACTGCGCAGATTGCCGCATCTGTGGTGCTAGTTTCCGAAGTGCACCGGTGTGCGTTCGGGTAGCTCCGGTAATGTTAGCGCAATGGAACGCACGGATAATTTTAAGTTCGGAGCATTGAGGCAATTTGAACAGCTGGTGTGCGCTTAGTACACAACCGGCGTCCATTCCAATCTGAACGCGCTCCTGTGTAGCCCGAAAATCGCTTATCCGTCATCCTTCATTCGTCACAAACAAAAAATTCCTGCTGGACGTTTTCATCAATAAAGACAACAAACAGAAATTTGTTGTTTTTAAATGTTTAACAATAAATATCGTGCAAAATTAATTAACAATGGATGAAACAGAAAATCCCATATTATATGTCGTGGTTGTGGGCTTCCACCATAAAAAGGGGTGTCAAGTAAGTGTATTGTTGAACTTTTTTTTTAGAAAAATGAACCTAAAGTGTTGGCAGATTTTCACAGTTTTGCTACCTTTTCGTGTAAAGATTTAGATAACTTTTTTGCTACTTACTTACATAGGCAGATATAGAATATTCTACAATCCTATTTTCCATAGTTAGCAAAACAATTTATTGGTATTAGCAAAAAAACGATTTTAAGACCCGGTTTATTCATTTTCAGATAAGCTTCCTGGTCTGCAAGATAATTTTACGGATCTCTAATCCTATTGGTCTGTGACCAATAAGATTAAAGATTGCATGTTTATCTATCAGATCGCATTACCTGACAGTTTATCAGAAGGTGAATAAACCGGCCCTAGATTATATTTATAATCTACCACCCACTGAGAAACCAATAACGTGAAATAATTTGATATCTATGCATTTCAATAATGAAGAATGCCTTTTTCCAAATCTCTCGGATAACCTAAATCTGATGACTAATTTTCCACTTCCGTCATTTTACAGTTTTTCTGATGGCCCTGTCTCCGTAACATTGTTTGATTTTCTGTCTAGTTTTCTACCATATGAACATTTTCCCACGACGCAAATATGTTATAGGACTCCAAAATTTTGCATGATTATTCAATCAAATTCAGGCAATGTTTTGTGTTGGAACTTCTATGCCTGATAAAGACTATCTGATGAATGAATCAGAGCAGAATTTCAAACACTTCAACATTCCGAACTGATAATACATTATTAGATTTTTATAATAAGTATGGTTCTGTAAAAAATGTTATAGGTACCTACTCATATTATGAGTATCACTCAGTAGCATATAAACAATATGCTATAATTTGAGCATATAATATGTTGACACTCTCAACAGTGGTGTATCAAAACATTAGATAATGCTTCTCTCGAATCCAAAAGCCCACTTACTAAACCGTCAAGGTCTATAAACCTAGCAGTCCCAAGGTGGAAAAAAACTTCGGGAACTATATAATAATTAGGTGCTTTTTAGGTGCTAATTAGGGCCTCTAATTAAAAATTAGGTGCTCCTCTAGTTTTTGAGAAAATCAAAAAAAAAACTAAGGGACTGCTAGGTTTATGAAAGCTAGAAGTCCCCTATAGTAAATGATATTTTTTCAAAATTTTCTTTTGTATCAGAATTAGGTGCTTTTTAGGTGCTCCCAAATAGTCGAAGAAAAAATGGAATTGATTAATTATTAACTGAGTTACAGATTTTTTCTTTAATGATTAGGGGACTGCTTGCTTTACGTTTACATGTTGGTGTGTCAGAATGGAAAAAAAACTTCGGGATCTATATAATAATTAGGTGCTTTTTAGGTGCTAATTAGGGCCTCTAATTAAAAATTAGGTGCTCCTCTAGTTTTTGAGAAAATCACAAAAAACTAAGGGATTGTTAGGTTTATGGAAGCTAGTAGTCCCCTATAGTAAAAAATATTTTTCCAAAATTTTCTTTTGTATCAGAATTGGGTGCTTTTTAGGTGCTCCTAAATAGTCCAAGAAAAAATAGAATTGATTAATTATTACCTGAGTTACAGATTTTTTCTTTAATTATTAGGGGACTGCTTGCTTTACGTTTACATGTTGGTGTGTCAGAATGGAAAAAAAACTTCGGGATCTATATAATAATTAGGTGCTTTTTACGTGCTAATTAGGGCCTCTAATTAAAAATTAGGTGCTCCTCTAGTTTTTGAGAAAATCAAAAAAAACTAAGGGATTGCTAGGTTTATGAAAGCTAGTAGTCCCCTATAGTGAAAAATATTTTTCCAAAAATTTCTTTTGTATCAGAATTAGGTGCTTTTTAGGTGCTCCCAAATAGTCGAAGAAAAAATGGAATTGATTAATTATTAACTGAGTTACAGATATTTTTTCAATTATTAGGGGACTGCTGGCTTTACGTCTACTTGTTGGTGTGTCAGAATGGAAAAAAACTTCGGGATCTATATAATAATTAGGTGCTTTTTAGGTGCTAATTAGGGCCTCTAATTAAAAATTAGGTGCTCCTCTAGTTTTTGAGAAAATCAAAAAAAACTAAGTGATTGCTAGGCTTATGAAAGCTAGTAGTCCCCTATAGCAAATAATATTTTTCCAAAATTTTCTTTTGTATTAGAATTAGGTGCGCCGGAATAGTCGAAAAAAAAATAGAATTGATTAATTATTAACTGAGTTACAGATTTTTTTTTTATTATTAGGGGACTGCTGGCTTTACGTCTACTTGTTGGTGTGTCAGAATGGCAAAAAAACTTCGGGATCTATATAATAATTAGGTGCTTTTTAGGTAATAGATCCCAAATCAAAAAAAACTAAGGGATTGCTAGGTTTATGAAAGTTAGTAGTCCCCTAATAATAAAAAAAATCTCTAACTCAGTTAATACTAGAAAGCACCTAATTCTGATATAAAAGGAAAATTTGAAAAAATATTTTTTACAATAGGGGACTGCTAGTTTCTATTAACCTGGCAGTCCCTTTTTTCTTTTTATTGATTATCTCAAAAACTAAAGGAGCACCTAATTTTTAATTAGTAGCCCTAATTAGCACCTAAAAAGTACCTAATTATTATTATTATTATTATTATTATATAGACCCCGAAATTTTTTTCTATTCTGACTCATCACCAAGTAAAAGTGAAGCCAACAATTTCCTAATAATGAAAAAAATCTGTAATTCAGCTAATAATTAACTGATTCAAGTTTTTCTTCGACTATTTAGGAGCACTTAAATAGCACCTAATTCTAAAAAAAAAAAAATACTTTTTACTATAGGGGACTGCTAGCTGCTAATTTTTAATTAGAGGCCCTAATTAGCACGTAAAAAGCACCTAATTATTATATAGATCCCGAAGTTTTTTTTCCATTCTGACACACCAACATGTAAACGTAAAGCAAGCAGTCCCCTAATAATTAAAGAAAAAATCTGTAACTCAGTTAATAATTAATCAATTCTATTTTTTCTTGGACTATTTAGGAGCACCTAAAAAGCACCTAATTCTGATACAAAGAAAAAATTTGAAAACATATTTTTTACTATAGGGGACTGCTAGCTTTTATAAACCTAGCAGTCCATTAGTTTTTTTTTGATTTTCTCAAAAACTAAAGGAGCACCTAATTTTTAATTAGAGGCCCTAATCCACATCGAACGCTTTCTTTAAATCCACAAATACTGATATACCTAACTATGTTTCTTTTGTCCACATTTTTTGATTCGTAATAGACCTATCTATTTTTACCTGTATGCGCGCGCAACACGAGGCAATGCATTTTTATTGGCTAACTAGTACAGGTGTGAAGTAATCCTTTTGCACGCTGGGCATCTCCGTGTCCTTGTTCATTGCCCGTGGTCTGACAAGGATAAATTTATGCTTGATATTCAACTTGACGTAGCTTGACAAGTGATCAATTGTTTGTGTTTTTGATTGACAAATACGTTGCATGTCACGCGGTTTCCCTCCTTCCTTTTTTATGCCGTGCAAATAATAAGAACGGATTGCTATACGTAAGTCTAACATAATTTGGTACGTTTTGCCTCGTCTTGCGCAATAAGCGTTCTGCGTCTTTTTCTATCTAATAAAGTTTTCATATTATTACCTCTTTATCTGGTAAAATAGATAGGTCTATTCACAAAGTCAAATGTAGCTGATAGTGTATCGCTGTCTTTGATGAAACCATACTGAAAAGGATCAACGTTTAAACTGTTATGAATAAAGGGAGTTTTTTTTAAATAATTTTTTCAATGACTCTAGAGAAAACCGAAAATTTAATTTCAGAATCAAAAGAAAACACTTATGACAAAGCTTAAAAACCCGAAAATCTCAGCAGTACAAAATAATCAGGTATGCAGTCTAATGGATAAAAACGCAATCTGTAATTCCATTGGTTGGCTAGTTATTTGCCGACTAATAGAATTATAGAACGGTAAATTTCTCTTAGATAGTTACCAGCAACTTTATTTGAAGATGAATAACTTTAAACAAACAATGGCCTAAAAGGGTCTCTAGCCTTTAATTTGCATAAGTACCTAGAGGCCTTTTCTGTTGGGCAAACACAAAATTAAAAAGTTGTTTGCTACAAAAACCCCATATGTCGAAGGGGACTCCACAAATGAGTAATATATCCACTTAGCGGTAGATGACCCCAACTGCCCTGTGACAATACAAAGAACATAACATCCAGATGCCAAGTTCTTCACAATATATGCTCTTTAAATTTTGGATCCAAAACCATGTGCAAGCCCAGAAACCTGAAGCTGTCCTCATTCGCTATTTAATAACTGCCCACACTCAGATCATCCAATACAAACTTAAAAGAAGTAGCACAAGTTTTCTTTAAATTTAAATAAAGTAAATTTGGGTCACACCACTCCTCACTCCTTTACGCGTTGTAGGTCTTTGATTATAATATCTTTTAGTGAACTAGCATCTTCGCCAAGCCATATAAAGTGATATTATCTGTAAAAATGGTAAAACGGCCCCAAATATCAAGTCTAGCTAGGTCAGTCAAGTACAATACAAAAATAATTGGGCCAAGAATCGAACCCTAAGGAACACCATGTCACAGTGTCAGTTCATCTGATGAGTTGCCATTTTCAAAAAAAACCATTTGCTTTCTACCCGATGAAAACCAGTCATACTCCAAACAAGCTCCAAACCCCTAAAGTCTACTGATACCTACATTTTCTCCAGCAGTATTCTGTGATTTACACAATCAAATGCTTTGGAAAAATCACAGAAAATTGCTGCAGCCATACTTTCTTCATTTAGATTGATATACACATTCTCTACATAAGCTCTTAAACACCAAATCACTAGTACCCTTATATGAGGCTTGAAATCCACCCTGACAACACGTCAGGATATTGTGATTCAACATAAAGGTTGTCATTCTTTTCTTTACAAGCTTTTCAATAATGATCTTTGAAAGCGTTGGTAACAATGATTTGCACTGGGAAAATATATAGAAATACCTATAGAAAATATTTTGTTTGTAGGTGGAGTATTCCTTCCCACCCCTTGTGCCAGGAGCCCCGAATGAATGTCCCACAGGATGGAAATACTTGCCTACATTGGCCTTGCCTGATGGTTCTCATAATTATGAAGAAGATACTGTGTTTTTTCATTTACCCAGTTTGACTAACCCGAAAGAAACTGTGTTTGGTATTTCGTGCTATCGGCAGATTTCAGCGGATGTGAGTCAATAATAATTTCACTAATCAATCGTTTCAAATAGGTGTACCTTAAAAAATGTAATAATCAGATATTTTATACACATATAAAGAAATGATTGTTTCAAAAACAAATTTCTTTTGTAGAAATGTCTAGGTTGGAAATGTTTTGTGATGTACAATTTTCTCAACAAACCAAACAAAAAAACTTGCACAAAAAGTACCTAGTCCTAATTCCATTTCTCGGTGGTTTTATTTAATTTGTCTCATGATTCAGACAGTGATTCAATTTATCTATTTATAATACTAAAATTATCAACACACATACATATGATAATTTGATTAATCATAATAAATTATAAATACATATACCATTGTTTATGTGATTTGCTCTAGCATTATCAGCAAAATTTTGTTTTTGATAACTTGGTTGATGTTTTTGACTGATGGTAGCATGAAAATTTAGTTTAAGAAAAAATAAATTCAATATTTTTTTCCTTAGAAACTCAAGAATCGAACTTCTGATATCACAAGAACCTCAGTACAAAAATCAGTATGTGTCCTTAGTAAAATACCTTTATATGGTCAGATACAAGTGAAAATGGCACTTATTACCCATGCATACTTTGATGAAGGGGATTTTAGTAAAGTATCAATATTAGAGGACACATTTCACCATTTAAATGCTGTTTTAAGCCAGACAGATATTAGGCAGAAAACTTTTGTTGGTTTATCAACAAGGGATTTTATTTTGCAATGGAAGCACAAGGCCATACTTTTATTTAAGTTACTTCTCCTAGAAAAAAGAACCATATTTTACAAATCTCCAGTTCTTCCTTTGTGCTCTACCATTTTAACTTTAGTTTCACTATTTCCTGAGATGATTGAAAAAGGACTACATCAAGCAGCATGCATAAGGTAATTTTTGATTTTGCAATAATAATGTATTAATTTTTGAAATACTTAAGACTGTCCAGACCCATGTCACCCATGCCAGAATTTTCCGATGAAGAGTCACCACCAAATTCCCCAAAAAAGAATCCACATGTTCGAAATGGGAACAGCACACCACCTCAAGCAAGCAAACGTGTTGATGAGCATATTTTGAAATCTGAAAATTTATCAGTACTCAATCAAAATGGAGAATGCATTGAAAATGGAGTAGAAATCACAGAATCTGGGAGTCAGGGCAAAGAAGACAGCAATGGTAAGAAAAAAATATTTATATTCTAAATAGCTCAATTACATAACAGGACATCAATAACATAATAAATTTAACAAACCTAAATGTAATTCCTAATCATGGTTTAACAATTTTTTGTTTTCAAATTTTTCTCCCATCTAAAGCAATATTAAAAATACTAAATTTTGCCCAGATACTCCTCAATGCAATGGACAAAGTTATAAGATATAGGTATATCTGCTAACTGCATTATCAAGATAATGAAAAACTATGAGCCAATATTGATTTTGAACAAAATCAACTTCAGCTCATAGCAAGAGAACACTTCAAGCACAATTTGCAAACGGGCTATTATCAGAAGCAGAAGTTAATGTTTTCTGTGTTCTAAAATTCCAAATGCATTATTATTAGTCTGTAGGTGCATCGATAAAAATAGGATATATATTTTTTTTAAATATATTTATTTATGACCTTAAAGCAGTATAGCTTATACTGGCACCGAGGCCTAACAACACTTTTGTAAAAAAATAACAATTAAATAATGGGTTAAGTCGTTTCTTTTCTATACAATATTAATAACAAACATATGATCACCATATGCTTGTTTTTTAGTATTCGATAAGTAGTTGTAAACTAGTATGAATTTCTAGGTGTTATAGGAGAAAAAAGTAACAGTTTACGTAGAGACATAAGCTCAGACACAATAGCTGATTCAGTTCAAAGCAATATGAACTATCTAACCCAAATCAGCACAGAAACTTGTGGGTTTCCTCTATCAATTTTCACCAAAGGATCTCTGTGCTTGCCATATTTATCTTTACCATATTTGGACTTGTTAACAGACGTAAATGTACGAAGCTATGTTGTGGGAGCTACAAATGTTTTATTTAAACAAAAAAGGCAGTTGTATGACATATTAGTTGATATTGATGGAGGCAGGTAAGAACTTATTTGTTAGGTGCGTTTTTGCAAGACTACTTCTAATCAGGCAGATTTTGATTGACATAGAAGTACCTATACATAAATATATTAATCTGTGTAACCCTCATACTTTGAACATAGGATAGAATGTCAAGATCTCGCACTAAGAAAACTTCTCCATCTTACCACAGAAGATCTCAGATTTGCCGATTACATTGTAAAACATGTGTCTGAGGAAAGGCACGATGTTTTCCTTGACGGTGTAGGCTATGAAGGCGGCGATGAATGGATCAGGGCGCAATTTAGAGTTTATATGCTATGCTTGTTAAGGACTTCAATGTTACCTGGTAATAATTATTCAAATATTTCGTTTTATTGTTGGTAATTGGAAAAAATAGATAATAGTAGCAAAAATATACTTCGAAGAAGTATATAAATGGATAAAAATAAAGATTTTTTTTTAGATATTAGCTTATTAGATGTAAATATAATACCCATGTAGCATTAATAGATTAAACATGTTGGTTTTTAGATGGAGCTAGAGAAATGGATCATTTCAATTCCAACTTTGTATGTGCCTGGAGAGAAACGCACAACTACAAAATGTGGCTGAGTACCATTCATCCTGGGATTTTGGATGTTCATTCTGGGCATCCGTTTGCCGGTCAATTGTCGGTGGCTGATATGAAGTTAAGATTAGCTCAGTGAGTAGACATTTCGAATTTTGTCCTAAGTTAATTTTTGTTTGATTTTTCAGTACTATGCAAACGACAGAAAGTGGCAGAAAACTGGGACAAGCAATGACATCAACTGGTAGAGCAGTAGCTACTACAAGTAAAGCTGTGGGTGAGTTAATCAGTTGATGGACAACTTAGATAGTACCAATTTTTGAAAGCAACATTGATATTAGCTCTGTTCCAATCCAACAGACATAAGAACCGTTCCAGAACCAGTAATTTCCAGTTGCCCACCTATTTTTCAATAAGTTGAACGTTTATCCTAATTGACAAATGAATTGAGCGACTGGAAATTACCGTTCTAGAACGGTTCTCATGTCTGTTGGAAGTTGGAACAGAGCTATTGATATATTCAGTTCTGAAAATAGGCCTTTTCCAGAATCCTCATTGAGAAATGCTAAGACAGTTATCTCTTCTACACACAAACCTTTTGATTCTTTCCTAAAATTGTATTCATCATAATTCTTTATCTCTTATAGGAAATATATATTGTATTTTTTTTTAGGTGGTGCAATCTCCCAAGCCAAAGGAGCTTTCTCCAGCTGGTGGAACAACCTCCTAGTTAGCCCAGACCCATTGATGATGAAAGAACCAGAGGCTGTAGGCATTTCTTATGCTGAAGAACTGCAACAATGCACCGATGAACCGAATATAAACTGTTCACTGGCCGAAGAAGTAATTGAATCACTTGCACCTGTCACAAACATCGAAACTTCTGAAAATAATCATATGAACATTGATGGAACTGAATCTAGTATTAGTAACGGTAAAAGCGATAATGATGATGAATCTCAAAAAAAAAGGTATCGGCCAGGTGAAATACACACTGTTTAGTTAAATAAATTTGCCAATTACGGGTGAGTATTATCTCAAATTAATTTTGAAGAATGTACAACATAACATTCAAATAAAAATATATTTGAACTCACCTTTTATATATTTTAAACATTCCTGATGATAGTTTTTAACCTTATTATCTGGTTTATTCTATAAAAATAAAATGTACTTATGTTCCTTCTCTATTAATTTGTTTCATTATTTAACGTAGTGTTAATATCTTGATTTGATTAATACAAATACGTTTTGCAAATTGTGATTTTAGTTTGTTGAACAATAAGTATATTTTTTATATTATCTGTACATGCTGTTAAGAGTTATATTTATTTTTTAATAATTTGCCAATACACATTATTTTGTAATTTCGTTAGTTTGAATGTGTTTGTTGCTCGAATTATTTTTATTTTTAATAATATTATACAGGGTCTTATGTTTTTCCACTCTTTTGTATTATTTTTGTAGTAGTTTAGTTAGTTATCAGTTATTATTATTGTTGTATGCTGTTGAAGTAAACTTTTCTACCTTTATTTTTCTACATAGGAATCCATATTTTCGAAAATAACCACAACCAAAATCTTAGCTTTATTTGAAATAAAATCAAGTGTTCTTCAACTCTAAACTCCAATTATAACTGTTATTAGTAATTTTATCTATTTGTACTTAAAGTATGACCTATTTTTAGAATACTCCTTGAATTATTACTAGGCAATTTTAAACTGCAAAAAACTATTTATTACCATTGTATCCTTATAACAATCCAGTACCTAAATGAAAATCAGACTTACTTGTACTAGATGGACATTTTTTAGTTAAAGCGGTGATAATATTTGGAAAATCTTAAAAAAAATATATACTTACTTCAGATCCTAGCTATTTTTATTATTGGAGCTACTGAGCTAACTGAATTATAAAAGTTTTCTTTCGAAATATCTAAGTAGGTAAGTATATAATTGCATATTTCTACCACCGCTAATGATACTTTATACCCAAATATGATATGTAGTTATATCCTAATAAATTAGGTATGCATAATTTTTTATAAAAGAAATATTTTGATCCCTGTTGGTGTAATGTTTGAAAAATGTAGAACATTTTTTAAAAATTAATATTTGTTTATTCAATAAAGTTGTACCTACTAGTTGAAGTGGAATGTATATTTATTTGGATATTTTAATTCCAGCCTAATCCCTCTTCTTAAGGAAGGATTTCACGAGGACTGCATCCCCTCTAAACCTTCGTTTCTAGGTGTCTCTACTTGATAGTAGTGATTTAAATGTCTCAGTAATGTAAACCATATTTTTTCGCTTTACTTTAGAGTTCTTTCTATTAGTAATAGCTTCTCCAGTAGTGACGTGAGCTGATGATTTCCTGTCCCAAATTATAGTTTCTTGGCGGTCTTTATGTTCTAGTGAATTGTCCTTTAGGCAATTCGTGTTCACGAACTTCTTCCATGCCCAAAAACGATTATCCTTTCTTATTCCAACTTCTTCCTAAAGAAATTGCGTATTTGGTCGATTGTAGACAGTTTATCAGTTTCTTCATGGTTCGGCCGTATCGTAATCCGTGAGCCTCCTGAGTTCTTTTTTCCAATGTGTGCTAGTGGACTTCCACAACTCTTTCGCTTTATTTCTCAGGAATGCCTTGAGGGTGTCCTAAATTAATTTTCCATGTACGCGTGGATAGCCTAATATAGGACTGAAACATATAGCTGCCTTTATTTACCCAAAAGGTACGTCACAGTCGGTGATCCAATCAAAAATAGCTTTTTCTTCAGTAAGTTTATGCAACGGCGCTGCCACCTTAGCAAAACCTTTTAAAAATCGTTTATGGTATGTGCAAAGCCCAAGGAAAAAGGAGTTCACGCTTGTCCTCGGGGTCGCGGCCATTCACAAATTACCTGTATTTTTCTCTCGTCAGTATGAATTCATCGGGGTGAAACTACATGGCTAAGAAAATCAAGGCGCTGATGGAGGAGAACATTTCATGTCATTCAATTGGAGGTTCGCCTTACTGAAGGGTACATACTTCTTGTAAGTTTCGTAGGTGCTCATCGGAAGTTTTTCCCATCATTGGAACATCAACCAGGTAGACAAGGCATACTCACGTAAGTCCTCGCAGTATGATTTCCATCAGCCTCTTGAAAGCAGCGGGGGTATTACAGAGTCCAAAATCTTGATATTCCGGTAAGTAATAACTCTTCACTTTATTGATCGAATAACTTTTTATTAGTGTTAGAATGCAGAAACACGATACAAAAACTCGATGACAATGATTAATAATGTGACAACTTCCTCGACACATGTCTTGCACACAGTGCTGGGAGCTGGTCAAGGTAGCTGGTAGTTCTTTTGAGAACTCTGAACAGAATTGGAGTATTCTACAACATAGAGTTTTTGTATCGTGTGTCTCTGAATTCTAACTAATATAAAAAGTTATGCAATCAATAAAGTGGGGAGTTATTACCTACCAAAATATGAAGAGGTTATGGGCCCAGATATCCCAAAGATTATCTAACTGGAATTACCCTAGAATTGGGCGCAAACTTGAAAAATGAAAAGTTAGGTAAGAGATAGCGGCAGCTCACGAAAAATTGAAATAGCAAAAAAGGAAAGATGGCAGACAAATATTATTTCATGTGAAACCCTTTGACGGAACAGTATATTCAAACTGGGATTTTAGAATTAAATTATTGTTGGAACAACAAGGCGTAAGACATGTTTTAACTGAAAATTCTCCCGATTCAACAAATATGACTATGAATATGAAAAGTTTATGAAAGCAGATGTGAAAGCTAGAACAATTATAATCCAGTGTCTCAGGCAACATTCTAGAAAAGCTCAAAACTAAAAATACAGCCAAGGAAATAGTAGAACGTTTAAGCAATGCATACTTGAAGCAAGGAATTTCATCACAAGTAATTTAACAAAGAAAATTACGAAGTTTGAAATACAGTGTGATTTTTTAAGTGTGCAACATATGGGATTTTTTTTTTAGTAATAGCACAACCCAAATACAATAAACAAGGCCAAAAGTTGGTGCATGTTTGATAATCATATTAGGTGCACTTAGAATGGTTGCAAGTCAAACAGCATACAGGGTAGCTCAATAACAATATCAAAGCAGGTACTGTATAGTACCCGTATTTTAGAAAATTCAGCAAAATGTTATAGAGAAAAGTTGTTTGGAATTAAAAGTTATGCCTAAATACCAAAACATAGCCTCCTAAGATTTTTTTTATTTTTTTTCGAAAAAAATCTATAATTTCTATATATTTTTTATTTTTTATTTCCGCCCTTAAGACTTTCAAAAATTAATTAAAATCAAATCAATTTTACATAACTTTGTTCAAATTCAAGCATATTTGTAAAATTAATTTAGATTTTTAATTTTTTATGGAATCACAAAATTCATGTTTGTTGCAATGATATTCAACACAACTTTAAAACGTCGCAATTTTTTTTTTAACAAGTTAAAACATTACTAATGATAATAGCCATATTAAAAAAACTCTCCTTAAAGTGCAAAAGTTTTATTTTATTTAAGTAAATATTAGTAGAATTTTGATATTTTTTGAGCCACCCTGTATGATGTTTGACTTGCAACCATTCTAAGTGCACCTAATATGATTATCAGACATGCACCAACTTTTGGCCTTGTTTGTATTTTGATTGTGCTATTACTAAAAAAAAATCCCATATGTTGCACACTTAAGTAATGACACTGTATAATGAATTATTATCATCCATGCCAGAATCCTATCAAACTGTAACAACAGATTAGTTTTTGAAGGCAATTTGGAAGGAAATTTATACCTACATAGTCGCTTTTTCTTTAAATTCTGATTTGCAGAGTGCCAGTGCTGTCATTGATAATAATGATAAAATGCAATGGTACAGAAAAATGGCGGCACATACATCTAGGTACCCAGCCCCCGCGTGAAGGATGTATAAAGTCGTAGCAAACTAGGTGACCTTATGTACAAATATCTGACGAGAGAAAATCAGAAAGAATCTTATTAGAAATTTTATCAACCCGCGATATTTGTGGCTCCATAAATTCACCAACCTATGATGGTAAGAATTATTTCATCACCTTCATGGATACTGTTTGTGCCCGAAACTAGGGTGGAAATGTCCATATTTTCACAAAAATCCTTTTTTCGATGAATCGCAATTATTAGTTTTACCCCCTTAAATCACCTCCAAAGTAATTTGCAAGTCAAGTGAGGTTCCCCAAACTATGTATTTTGATACTGCCTATAATTTCCAGTACTGTTTGCGCCCGAGACTAGGGTGGAAATGTCCATATTTTCACATAAACCCTTTTTTCGATGAATCGCAATTTTTAGTTTTACTCCTTAAACCACCTCCAAAGTAATTTGCATAAGTCAAGTGAGGTACGTTCCTCAAACTATATATATTTTGATACTGCCTATAATTTCCAGTACTGTTTGTGCCCGAGACTAGGGTGGAAATGTCCATATTTTCACAAAAACCCTTTTTTCGATGAATCGCAATTTTTAGTTTTACCCCCTTAAACCACCTCCAAAGTAATTTGCAAGTCAAGTGAGGTTCCCCAAACGATGTATTTTGGTACTGCCTATAATATCCAGTACTGTTTGTACCCGAGACTAGGATGGAAATGTCCATAATATTTTCACAAAAACCCTTTTTTCGATGAATCGCAATTATCAGTTTTAACCCCTTAAACCACCATCAAAGTTATTTGCAAGTCTTTTTAGATTCCCTAAACGGTGTATCTTGGTACTGCTTATAACTTCTAATACCATTTGTACCCGAGACTGGTGGAAATGTCCATATTTTCACAAGAACCCTTTTTTCGATGAATCGCAGTTATTGGTTTTAACCCCTTAAACCACCCTCAAAGTAATTTGCAAGTCAAGTGAGGTTCCCTAAACGGTGTATATTGGTACTGCCTATGACTTCCAGTATCATTTGTACCCGAGACTAGGGTGGAAATATCCATATTGTCATAAAAATCACTTTTTCGATGAAACGCAATTATGTTTTACCTCCTTAAACCACCCTTAAACTTATTTGCAAGTCTTTTTAGGTACCCTAAACGGTGTATCTTGGTACTGTTTATACATTCCAGTACCATCTGTACCCCGGACTAGGGTGGAAATGTCCATATTTTCTCAAAAACCCGTTTTTCGATGAATCGCAAATATTAGTTTTAACCCCTTCTTAGAAACCATTTTGTTCGAGATTGCATTACTCACGAGAAAATTATTTTATTTTACGTTTCAACAGAAGATCATCAAGTAGACATATTAACAAAGGCTTTACCTATATAGTAAAGTTTAAATATTTTAGAGATTGTTAGAACATTAATTTTTAGATAATCTTTAGATTTAATTTTTGAGTTAAATTGAGAAAGCAGTTTTGATTACCATATAGTTTTTTTTTTGTTAGGAAGTTCCATTTCTGTTCAGAGCTCTCAAAGAACTACCAGCTACCTTGACCAGCTACCAGCACTATATGCAAGACATATGTGTTAGGGATGTTGTCACATTATTAATCATTATTGTCATAGAGTTTTTGTATCGTGTCTCTGCATTCTAACCCAGTGGAGAACGCTGTCTTCTCTTTGATTTTTCGTCAATGCATACCTGTCAATATCCGCTTTTTGAATTCAAGGTAGGTCTGCCAATCTCGTAAGGGTATGTCAATTCTGGGGTATTTCTTAGTGAGGCCGTTAAGCTATTTGTAATCGACGGAAAATCTAGTAGATCAATCTTTTTTTGTCACTAGTAGAAGTGATGATGACCACGGACTTATAGATACTCTTCAACAACTCTCTCTGCAAGCATACCTGTCTACCAAGTGATTCCATGCACTCTTTGTTGTTTGGTCATAGATGGAAATCTTCTAGGTGGTTGATGGATCGGACGAGCACATCATTCTTGATAATGTCTTACCAGTTTCGCCATTTTTACCCTCAAAGATATCCATCTTCTCACAAATGAACTGTTGAGACTTCTTCAGTTTTGTACAGGAAAGATGTTGCCAAGAACCAAAATGGTTCGATTTGTCCTAGAATGTCACTGGATGATTTTTTTTCTCCCTTGATGTTCCTCAGCTTTACACTTTGAAATCCCCTTGACAAGCTCGTAGCTGGCTA